CCCCCCCTCCCAGCCCTGCGCAGAGTCTTAATGGCGTGAGATTTTGTGATCAGTTGAATTTTCTGTTCACTCATTGCCCATCACCCCCTTAAACTACATGGTGTCTAATCGGTTTGGACCATCTCTAAATACTTTCACTCCTCCCTCCTCTATCCCCTCCCTTCACTCACAGCTCCCTGCAATTGCTCAATTTTTATGTGTGTTCTGGTATATGTGAGTGTAAATAAAATAATTAAATAAATATGATGGCAAATTAAACTTCTATGGCTGGTGAATAAACGCCAATGCAAATTAGGAAAATTTGAATGCAATATTTCCCCAAATTCGAAGAAATTTTATCCAAAGTAATTTTTATCGAAAGTAAATAAATAAATATTAGTAAAGATAAGAATTTTTTGATAATTTTGAATATGTAGGGCGAAAAGACAAAAATATGATTGTGAAAAAAGTTGAGTGGTACAAGAGATATTTGGCTCCTCTAAGCATAATATCATCAATTTCTCTTCAAGTTCTTGTTAAAATTAAATAATATATAAGTTAATATGAATACCAAAGATAATAATTGAAGTGATCAGTAATAAAACAAATTGATTTAGATGAATCTTTACGAGAAAATGTCATCAAAAACCGGTACTTTGGTAGAGAAATAGCATTCTGAAGCCTTTAAGAAAAAACTCACTCTCTGTCATTCTTACCAGTGCGGTTGGTGACACTTTGACTACACTTGACAGCTGTACACATTGACTTTTATGCGCCCTCTCCACGATAAACTGGCAAACAATAAGATTAACTTAAAATTATCTCATGAATATACCGCATGTTGAAGCTGAAACACCGGTAAGTCAAATATCGGTCTTCAAAACAATGTATAAAAGAATCTCTGAAAGTTTTATTAAGAAAAAAGACAGCTTTATACATCAACCCATATCATTGACACCATGACCGCAGGAAGTTGACGCTTTAGGAATTTCAAAACAAACAAAACTGAAAGCAGAGCCTTTCTGGAAGGCAAATTGAAAACAACCGCTCATGCTGAAACTATTTCGAAGTAAAATTTTTGCTTGGCTTTCGCTTCATATTTGAATAACTATGAATAACTGGGCATGTATGTATTTAATCTTTCCTTTCGTCCATTCGAGATTATTGCATTGATTCTTTTGACGAAAACAGGGTTTTATTGAGAAATTATGCTTATAATGGGCATAAAGGTAGGTATTTTAATTAAGTAAATACTGAGAGGGTTATTTTCTACTTAAACTAACCATTAAATTAAGTTTACAAAGACGAATAGATGTCATTGAGTGTCGATACGGGTTTACTTCTGGAGTCGGCCAATCAAAGCTCACGATGGTCAAAGCAACCAATGAGCACGTTCTCGCCAGAATTTGCGTTTGCTTATGTTCTCTCCTGACAAGTTAACTTTCCTTGCGGCGAAATTCATTTAATGGAGAATCACTTTGTGTGTCGGATGTGTTGGTATGCTCTTCTCATCAACTGAAACCCCTTGCGAACAATCTTCAGGAGTTGCGCAGTCTCAACCTCGAGACTACTCTATGAATTCATCAAGTAATAATAATCAAATAAATCCTCAGAATCTCTACGGGCAGTTCCCATGGTTCCGAGATGCCTGTATTCATGAAGGATCCGAAAGTACCGACATCACTGATGCGACTTGTCATGTCAAGCGACCAATGAATGCCTTCATGGTGTGGTCACGTGAAGAACGACGTAAAATGGCCCATGCCAATCCCAAAATGCATAATTCGGAGATTAGCAAGCGTCTGGGAGTTGAGTGGAAACGTCTCTCGGACTCAGAAAGGCAACCATACGTTGACGAGGCAAAACGTCTGCGATCTATTCATATGAAACGGTATCCCGATTACAAGTATCGGCCAAAAAGAAAGACCAAGCATTGTATGATGATGGCAATGAATATTTCTAGGGAGAGGGGAACTCATAACCCCCACATGCTTCTTCCTGGTATGTTTTCAGTGAATGATAAGTTTTAAATAAAATTCGACGGTTAGAAATTCTTTCCCATTGTAGGATTTCCAAATTTTGCTGGGCTTTATCCTAATTATTTCCTCAATCCATTTGCTGGCCCTGTTTTACCGAACACACAGATGCCACCAACGACTTCTCAATCAGGTATACGAATGCCGTCTCCTTCTGATCAGATGCTATTCAACTTTATGCGAGCAAATTTTCAATCTGGTACCCCCTCAATAAATTCACTTCTGAATAAAGGCCCCGATGAAAGTACATTGAAAGCGACAAATTCTTTTTCGAGCCCTTTATCCAACCCGATTACTACTACTACTACTGCCACTCAGATTTCACTACCATTTCTTCCTGAAACTAGTCTACCTTCGGCGAATTCTTCGGATAGCTCTTCATCATCACTAGCATTCAGCGCAGACTCACTTCTTCAAATGTCACCCGTAAAGATGCTGCCCCCTCCACCCCCCAGCTTTGATTTACTTAAGTCGTTGTGCTCATCTGTTTATCAAGAGAAGCAAGAGAGCAATGGTGACCCGGACGTGATGAATTCAGCCTGGTTCAAGTACCTAGCTGCCGCTGTCTCTAACCTACGTGATAAAGATCAGGCGGTAGCACTCTCCTTACAAAAAGATCCCGACGACCAACAACCTGAAGCTTTGAATCTCAACAAGGCTACTGCTTCTGCTGCTGCTGAGCTTGAAGTTCAGATTTCGAGAGATTAGTTTGGTGTTTGGCACTTTTGTAATCTCTATGCATTCCACTTTGCGTACTTGGCTTCTCTTTTTTGTGAGCTACTTACAGCCCAATAAACGAGTCCATTTGCGGATAAAGTTATTGTTTTTATCACTGGTTCCACCTTCTCTTTGTCTAGATCTATTTAATAGTAAGTCCATTTTAAAAATATTTTGCGAGATTTTGGCCTTGACATTACGAATTGCAGAATAGACGTTTTAGTGAGCTACATGTTAGCAGAAGAAAAGAACGAAATTCGGGAAATTTCCGCCATGACCTTATGAGTAACACAGATTGGCCGGCATCGCTCCCAAAGAGAATGGAGATGATTTTATCAGGGGAGAAGGGTAAACTTTCGTCTCAAATATAGGTTACGTAAGGCGACAAATGGTTTAAAATTCTAATTTCCTATATGGAAGAAAAATTATTTTTTGACAGAAATTCAACGCTGTTCGGAATCTCTGCGATAAGTTCCTGAAGTCCGTAAATTTTTCCTCAGTTAGAATGTGGCATTGTAGGTTTTTAAGTGGTGAATTGCACAGGATAGTGAATTTTCAAGGAACAGAAGTTTGAATTACCGTTTCGTCACATTCGTCTATTTCATCTAACTGCAGACGGATGTGAATTTGATTAACGACCCCAGGTTTGGCGGCACCGTTTCCATAAATGCACAGCTTCTAAAACGTTGATTTGCTTCAAAATAAGTTCTGCAGATTGTTTTTTTTGTTAAACTGTTCCGCTATATTTGAAATTGCTGCTACTAATCAGTGATACTCTCAAACAGAAGGATAAGTAACTGTGAATTTCATCTCTGAGTTTTCATAATATTTATTTTTATCAAATGGCAGGCTTTATGATAGTTATCATTAGCCCTTTAGTTGACCTCCAGGCTTTATGATAGTTATCATTAGCCCTTTAGTTGACTTCTGACTTCGCAGAGGGGAGAAACATCAAAGTCACAAAATGTCGAGAGATGGAACAAAAGAGCAATTTACAGATGTAAAGGGGTGTGCGATAGACTTACCTCCACGTGGTGCACCCTGGGCAACGTATTCTCATACGGCAAAAAAGTCTATTAACTGGCAGTTGGCTTCTGACTTCAAACTGCCATGACCCCGTTGTATGTCTTATTCGATCACTTCCACCATACTTATCCTACTTTTTCTCTGCCTTTGTGTCTATCTGTCGCTTTTACATCTTCGAATCATTCTTCTGTCCCCCTTCTCCACTTTTTCTCACTTTGATGTTTCTCCTTCCCTCTGTGAAGCCCGAAGTCAGCTAAAGGGCAAATGATAAGTATCATAAAGCCCGCCATTTGAAATAAATAAATACATTTACAGATGTAAAAGAAACAGACAGACACAAAGGCAAAATGAGTACTGTGAAAGTGGTCGAATACGACATTCAGTGAGGTCATGGTAGTTTGAAGTCAACTGTCAGTTTATAGACATTTTTTGCCGTATGAGAATAAGTTGTTCTGGGTGCACCACGTGGAGGTAAGTCTATCGCGCAACCCTGATTTTTTTTCAATATGAATGTCAGCAAATTCATTTTTTAGAAGTCACAAAATCGACGCCTATCAGTGATGTGGACAAACCGCACAGGTAGAAGAATGTGAGTTCATAATTAATACTTCACTTGAATGACCTAATAAGTAATTGAAGGCTGTGGTGTGTTGAAAATTTAGTTGAGGTTATAATATGTGAATGCGTTGTCAATTTAATTGTATTTTGAATAGGTAAAAACAGGGAGAGAGAGAGAGGGAGAGGATGGACAGGAAATTTCAAAATGAAGGTCACCTGTCAAAGTATTGTTTACTGGTCATGGCCTCTCCTTCCACCCTAAGCCCCTCTTTGAGGCAGAGAGCTGTCGGTAAACGCGTTCAGATTAATTGTTACAGTATTAAATTGTCAGTTCTCGGGTGTGTTTTTAGGCGCTTTACAAAGCCACAGAATTTTTCCTCCCCTGTCCTGAAAAAATACAACAAATGAAATGTATCTAATATTCTATTATCTACACTTGTATTGTAGAGCCAAAAATATAGGTTATTGTGCTCCTTGTCGGCCAGTCCTACCAACTGTCCCTCAACGCATCATTCAATTCAATAGTTGAGGCCACGAAATGAGAAAACCATTAAGGCTAACTGTATCGCAGGCTGAACATTTGTTGTGTTCTGGTCTAATCAACCACAGGGAGGGGCGGGGGGGGGGGGGGGGGGGGGGGGGGNGGGAGGGGAATTTGTATCCTCAACGTCTTAACAACGGAGATAAGAGGGGAGATTGGATCTCTTTTGAAAAAAATCTTTCTCCGTCCATCCTCAATCTTCTCTTTTCGAGTTCTACCACATTTCTCTTACGTTTCCCCCTGAACCCAACCTAGCAACCTGTTAGAATACACACTTAGGCCTCTCTTAACCGCATGACAGCGAATGACAGGCCCATTAACTCTAATGCACATAGCGGTAGAAAGGGGAGAAGGGTTTCTTTCATCTAGGTCTTGAGTCGAGTGGAGTAGTAGCTAGGATGTGGGGGAGGGGAGTATGCGTTGAGGCAGGGGGGGGGGAGTGGGGAGAACCGTTATAATGCACTGAATGCGCAGTTGCAAATAGCGCGCTATTCGGCCAGAGTATGCACTACACGCTTCGGTGACAAAAGAATATACCGGACTGCCTTACTACACCACCCTACATCACATTCTCTTTCTTCTTCTGCTGTAGCAGCAGCAGCAGCAGTTTCGTTGTGTGTTTGTCGTTGTCAAGTTGGCAGATAGAAGGATCAGATAAAATTGCTCGTTCGCGGATGGGTTGGTGGTAGTGGAGAGAAAGAGAGAGAGGAACGAGATGACAATAGGGACAATTGCTCCTGCTGCTGCGTCTGCTACTCAGTTATGTGTATGTGCGTGTTTTACAAGCGAGTCTATTAACGAGCATACGCATATGTAACGGTATGCATACTTGGACTTAGGGAGGAGGGGAGAGTTTATCTGATTCGGACAATGCGCAGTTGCAATTGTAAATGCAATGAATTGTAAATGATTCGTCATTCCTTGAATGAATACAGAACTTCATTCACCTCATCCTCGTCTTTGAGATTAGGTGGCATTTGAAGTAGAAGAGCGTATTTAGGGAGACCAAAGAAAGGCTTAATTGAAAAACGACTTTTTTTTCTATTGTCCCTTCTTATCGGCTGCCTATGTCAAGCAATCCTAAACGATTTTAAGTAAGTTTAAGTTGAACAGTAAGCCTGTCACTTTTTGTAAAGTACATGACCGAATCGAATATACCATTGATTGTAATGCTTTAGAGCAAGGCAATAACGTAAAGATTTGGTAACCATGGTAAGCTTCTATGGAAGGGGGGGGGATATTTCATAGATTAAAAATATAGTTTAAAGGTTACTGATTCGGTTTTAAAAAGATAAGCTCATTCAAATAGTCACAGGAGGCTCAATTTATTTAATTCTGGATTGACCGGATTGTGGTACTTTCACTTAAAAGGTCAGGCTGGAGGTCAGACTGCTCAGTGCATTCGATGACTGTAGAGCTGGTAATGAATGATAAAGAATTCAATTAACTCAATTATTAGACCAATAAAGTTACTCGTGACTCTAATTTGGATTTATTTCCAATTAATTAAACCATAGAAGAATGGATTAAAAAGAAAATTAGCTGAAGCTTACGAAAATAAGGTCATTTATCTGTTTTCGTACCCAATAAATTGTCGAAAAACTTGAAGTGAACTCAAATGTTGTGCAGTATTGACTGTGAATCTCAGCCCATGCTCAATATGATATCCTTACTTGGAAATTAAACGATAGCTAATTTAGGCCAAGAGTACATCATGAGTAAAAGCTAGTACCACTCTACTGAATTTAAAAAGTATATAATTGGAAAAATTGAAGACGACAGGGTGTGAAGCAAAGTGACGAATCATGAAATTCGAATTTTGGAACGTAAATCCGCGAATTAACAGTTTTCAAAAGCACAAAACTCGACTCTAATTTCAATACTTTTTGTCTTTTCCTCTTTAGAATCTCCTGAATTTACCGTTTAAAAGTGCCAATTGTTTTCTCACAATGAAATCGTACATTTTTATTACTATAATGTTGGTCACAGTAAAACAAAACACGAAGTCAACGTTAATGGAGATATTCTTGAAGATAGGAAGAAACAATGATATTAACCCAAAACAAGCTAATTTCGCTAGTGGACCTTAGTTTATTGCCATGGCTATTAAATCATAAATGTACGATCTGACCGATGAACCTCATTTTATGCCTCCTACACATGTGTGCTTGCTAATTATTCACACTGTAAAAATGTTTCAAAAGTCACCTAGTTTGACCAGAAATCTTTTATTTCCATCGTGGTGTAACACATTATGAGCTATACTTGGGGTTACAGTTCTCAAAGCTCAAATTATAGCTTTGCAAAATGGAAGGAAAGGAAAATAGTGTGAATCACTTTGAAATTTTCACGCCGAAGAATTAATTCTAAGTTTAAACTAACAGGCTCGGTTAACTCTCCATGTCATTGCAAATGCAAAGAAGAGATTTTTATTACACATTAAAATATCATATTCTGTTAAACTTGCTTTTTACGCAATAAAAGCTAGGTTAGAAATGTAATCTATTGATATACTGACATCCAACTTTGAATTCTCAAATATTAATCATTAACAAACAATCTCTTCAAATACTTGCATTAAACCTAATCGGTTGATAAGGCGAACCGTTAAAATATACCAATAGCTCTCACATTTATCAATTCCCAGACCCAAAAAGTACAATAAATTTTTTTGTCAGCTGCGCCCTTACACATCGAGTTGAGTCGAGTCAACAGTCAAGTAAGACGGCCTCCAACATTAAGGTAACCAGTCTCACTTTTCTTTCCCTTCTCACCTAACCCCTTCCCTACTCCGTCACACAAGCAGATACAATTAGCATATAGTCATATGGCATATTTAAAGAGTGGTGTTTGAGTTGATGGAGGAGGAGGGGGGGTTGGGGGTGAGGGAGAATCTGGGAGACAAAAGTGAATACCCCTCCCCCCTTAAATCTCCCTTCTCCCTTTCTATGTATGAGTGTTGGAAAGATAAGACACCGATAAGCAAAAACCACTTGCTTTAGAACATAAGAGAGGGAGAGAGAGAGATGGGACAAGCAAAAGTAGGAGTTTTTCTAAACGAGTCTTGAGGGGTGGCTGTGGTACTGACCTCTCTCAACGCTCTCCTTAATGCATTGTCACTTTGTGGCTTAATAATCTACTTGACTGGCTGGGGAAGAAAGTTGTTTAGAGACCTGAGTAGAGATTTGAGAAGGTGATTAGCGGTGAGAGCGAGAGAGCAAATCTCACTTGTTTATTGTTCTTGCACACCTAGTGTGTCCATTTAAGTGGTTCTCTTTATCGCCTTAAGACATCATCTTTTGCTTATAAAAAGGGGGAGGGGGTGAGAAATGGAGATAAAGCTTTAATAAACTCATTGCTCTCTCTACCTCCAGTCAGTATCAATCAGAGCATTGTCCGATATCTCAGGAAGCTAACTCCCAAATTGTCAGACCCATTGAAACTCAGTCAACACTTGGTATCGTGTTCTGTTTGTGTAGTGTAAAAAGTAGTCTGCTTTCCCTTAGGTGATTGGCATGATATTTCCTTTGGATTTATGGGCTTAAAAGCAAAGATATAGCCACAACAGTCTCTTAGAGCACACAATTAACTGTCACGATATGCTTAGGGCTTATACACACCAGAATGGTCTAGCAAAAGGCTCATTTGACGTGTCACAGTCGAAAAAGATGGAGGACGTTTACTCTAAGACTACGAACAAAGACAATGACAATTTTCATTATAAGGGTGGTCTAAAAAAGAGCTTGTCTGAGGGATTTAAGGATAAGCAAGACACAAGGCTGAGAAGTACTTGGATAAGTCAATTTTTATTTTTATTCAGACAACCCGATGGATAGAACGACAACTCCTTTCCATGAGACTCCGGAGGTAAGGTTCATTTACAAAGTGTGGCCAATCTTCATAAAATTTCCAAAGCGACGAGAAAATATTAATATAATTTCACATCTTTTAAGAGAAATAACTTGAGGAACTTTTATCTTCCCAGGGCTAAGATTCGTAAACCTGTACGATTCTAAATAATGAAACTTATAACAGTGAAGTTAAATTGTTTTAAAGATTTATTTACTTTTACTGTCGCTCAAAATCCACGTTACCTGGCAGCCTCATAAAACAATTGTTTGTATAATCAAAGGTAGACGCTAACAATCCGAGGCCATATTTTATGAAGTCCAATCGAATAATTTCAAAGAATTCAAAAGAAATTCGTGGACTTAATCTTGCAAGCATTGGATTATCGATTACTGATTGGGCATATGGATAAGTAATGCCACTTGTGATTGGTCATTTCTTCTAATGGATACGCGTGGAGCTTTTGACAATGGCCCATGATTTGTTAGACTAACGTTAACTGACTAATTGTAAGTTAATACTAATTAGGTCCATCCGCAGAGTTGGAAACACGGGTAGGATTTTGTCTGTCGTTCCTTAAAATGAGACTAGCTGTAGATTTATATATCCTAATATCTGTAAATAAAGTAATGTTATGTAAACTCACTTGAGTAGCTAAATTCCAGATTTTATCCTAATAGAGGGCAGAGACGGATCAATCCCATTTACTCAACTGATATTAAGCTCTTCTTCATATAGGCATTAATTGAAAAGTTCTCATGGGACCGCAAGAAAATATTTAAGTTACTGAAATCAAATCACAAAAAAATCAGGAGAATAAGGTTACCCTAGTTAAAATTATGAAAATGAACATTTTTGCGCAACTTCAGATCTTCATAAATGTTGGCAATTAGAAAGATCGACCGACAAACTAGTTACTTTTTGCAAAATCAATAAAAAATTTTAATCAAATAAAACTCTAAAGAATAGTGATAATACTAGAAGCATAAAAATGATGTTAAAAGACTGCAACATCTGAAAAGGTCACATTTTCACTTTATTCAAAGTCAATAAATCAATAATAATATCCACGTGCGTTCTACGGCAAAATTCACGAGTTTAAGTAATTTTTCATAATAAGTAAATTTAGGATTTCATAAAATGAACGATGAACAAAACGATGATTCTAAGAAATCGCCCTCAGAGGACCACGACGAGGAAAAGCAAAGTCGTTCCAAGACAGCCAAGGAAGAGGTTTCAGAGGCTACAAATGATGAATCGAATAAGGATCTGGATCAACAAAAAGACACTGATTGGTTTTCACTTACGAGTTTAAACACCGAATTAAGCACTGTATTTGAACCCTATCCCTTTGGAAGTGATGGAGCCATGACATACGAAGATTTTAGAGCCAAGTTGAAAGAAGTCCCACGTTCGATAATTGATTATATGGGTATTCTTGATTAAATAATGTGCACTCAATTAATTGAAATGAAGTGACAAACGCATTTTGTATTTCACTAGGTTACGTTCCAAATTCCGTGATTCGACTCATAATAGGCAAATGGGTAGAGGAATACCAAGCAGTAAGGAATTTTATTCAACTTTTTTTAAAAATTGTGATGTGAAAGATGGATAAGGTTGTGTAATTGCAATCGTTGTACGAAACTTCAGAACATTATGAATTTTCGATTTTTGTAGGGTAATATTCAAAGTGCTTTATAAACAGTCAAATTATAATACTCAGTAAAACTTAGTAACTAGTATTTGATGACGTTTTACGAAATGTGCCTTACGAGTCAGAGATATCTGAAAAAATCTTTTTGGCTAACTCGAACTTCTGATAGGTCAGAGGTCGGTGCTCGACAGCACATCTCCAGTTTACTGAACATCAAATTGTACTAATTAGTTGTTCCCAGAAAAGAGGCAACAGAATGCACATTATTCACAGAAGGGAAACCAAGATATCTTTCATCGACATAAATCCAATATTTTTAACACTTCCCTTAATAAATTTCGGAAACTTTACGTCGTTAGGACCTTTGGAATAAGCTTCTATTCCAACATGGAACGCAATGATATTTACTTTTAAGTTTGATTATAGCTTTAAAAGAAGATATAACATATTTTACTTTATAGTTGGTCAACTGTCGCAGAAGGTTAGAAGAGGCAGAAAAAACATACAGTGTGAGTTTAAAAGAACAATATTATATATTCAAATTTACCATTCAATGCATGGGAACCAGTGTTCAAACACACTATTTGGACATGAGGATAAAGATTCTAATATTATATTTACCGAAAGAAACTGATACTTGATAATTTCGATCCTGAATCTTCAATGCTTCGATGTTTTCTACCTAATTGATTGGCGTTAAACTGTTGAGACGTTTAAATTTAGACGGTGGTTTCCAAGAATGAATTTAGTTCAGCACCTTTTGGTAATGCACTTTTTGCACAGCACCATCTTCAAAGATATAGAATTTGCTGCAGGTGGCAGTAAGAGCACTGAAATTTCAACCTCTTAATGCGATTTCTTACTCCTTCGAATGAATATGTTAACAACCGTCCACCTTTCCCTGTCTGAACATTTATTTATCTACCATTATTGAATGTAGTTAGTAGGCCTAAACGTGTAATTTGCTTTAATTGACGCCGTTGGCAGAAAATGTTTCTTCAACCCCCACCGCCTTTACCAATTACATCAGTACTACTTTTATAATTTATAATCAATTTTAAACAGGCGGAGGAAATGGAGAGGAGAGAATCTGGGAGGAAGAAACTTACAATAGAAGAAGATGGCTCAATTGGTAGCGGGGAATTCGTAATGACCTCAAAGAAGGATGCTCAACGACTGAAAAAGATACGAATGGAAACAACTCAACAAATTCTTACACAGAGTACTCGTCCTACAGGTGAGTAAACAATAAAGTACTAAGAAATATCAAAGATCCATTCACTAACGTTTCATTGTAATTTTGGCATATGTCCATTGTTCGTTTAGTTGTACATAGGACATTTAACTTAGAGTCATACAAAATGATGAAATCGATAACAAATCTGCAATGTCATTACATATCGATTGTGCTAATAATGATTCTAAAAGGTTTCAATGGAACGGTTCCATTATTCTGTTCGTGTGCATAGTATACTCGATATCATATTGTAATGTCTAACTGACTTATGCTATTAAAGTCAAGTTAAACTTTTTGGGATCTGTTTAATGAAAGATCAAGAAGGTAGAGGTCCTTTAAGGAATTACGAGCACTATAACGACAAAACAGGACGACGACAGAGATAGTAGCAGAATATTTTTAACAGTTGATTGCGATGGTGGTCCAGTAATCGATGTGGGTCTCTTTTAAATCGGAGGTGATAAGGTGAACGCTAGTCTGCGAAAATTCAGTGATATGGATGACGAACCCGTTAGTTAATTTTTGTTCACTTTGACATATCAATTCTAGGAAAGTTTTCATTAGTAGAAAACAGAAGCCATAGAACTACTAAACTGAAGTTTCGACTGTTTGCAGATATTAGATGGTAGAGGAGAATAGACAAATCCTAGGTACATACTTTTACTAGTCCTTAAATAGAAGCAAATTCGTCTCGTTTAGCTAGCCTTTCACAAGTACCACCCGAAAATGCTACGACCTACGAGCAAGAAGAGATAACGAACGAGTCAGTTAACTTCGAACTCGAGGAGGACGGAGAAGAAACAACAAAACAGGAGATCGCTGGAGAGGGACAGCCACAGATCCTCTCTCGTTATGAAATGGACCAAATAATCGCCCAGATAGGCGAAGCTATCGGTGGCGATGACAAAGATATTGGAAAGTTGATATCAGGTGTATTGAGAGGGAAGGCAAGTGCTATCAATACGTTTGCCTCTATAGTTCCAGACCAAGACATTCGAGCCGATTTTCTACACACAATCCTCGAGCCTGGCTATATCATATTCTTGCTAAACTGTCACTTCCAGTCACTGCAAACTATACTCGGTGCTATAAACATAATATTGCACAATGATCCTTCTAATTCTAATGAACGAGCAGCGTTATCGGAGAGGTTTTTGGAGATTCTTGGAGAAACACCTGATAGTGAAGATTCCAAGTTGATGGCATTTGTGCAAGCCTTAGAAAAGACCTGTGATCTGGTTGTCAGAGAATTGAGAAAAAGAGTTCTTAAGGGCTTTGATATGACTGATCTAAAAGCCCAGTTCAAGGAATGTCTAAAAAAAGATGATCATCAAATGATTAGCTTCGCTAATAAGGTGAACATATCACCTATCCAGCTGAACGATATCATTGCGATGACCCTCACTTGTCAGTACGAGGCGCTGGAAGAATATCTCGAACATCTACCTAAACTTGGAAAATACGCGGTTGAGGTATGCTGTTACCCATTTACCTAGGTCATATATTGCTATTTTGCAGAAATGGGATGAAGATTATGAAAAGAAGATTGGGCTAGGGGAGTCTAAAACAAAACTCGCTGAAAAATCTCGCATGAATGGACAAGCAAGGGAAAAGTTGCATTGGTCTTTATCGGAAGCTATTTCCGAAGTTCCTACAGATTCTGGTAATGCTTCAAGTTATCACAACTACTTTTTATAAGTAAACTCCCCTCTTATTTTGCTTTTCATATTTTAGAAATGAAATCTCAAGGAAAAGTAGGGTTTATTTCACCAAGTAGTCACTTCTATCTTATATTTCTAGGGCCAAATGAACCTTAAAAAAACGACCGAAGACGAGAATAAATGCATGGAGCTTATATCTCAATTAAGAGATAAAGACAAACATAAAATGTCAAATAATACTTTAAGACAAATTGAAGCTTACCTAAGGTAGGTTCTTGAGTTTTGTGATGTTTCTAACAACCATGAGAAGAAATGAGAATGGTACAATGAGTATTGATGCACGCGCTCATGTTTATAATGAACTTCTAAGAACTGCCCTTGAGCTTCAAAAAGAGTTAGACGAACTTCCTGAAGGAAGTGAAGGAAGGCAATATATTGAGGATATCTTAGAAAGCATTCTTGAGATTGCCAAGTCTTTACCTGACGCAATTTTAGAATCCCAGGTACTTTAACGAAATCTATTCTACTTATTACATTTAAGTAGAAATCACAAGCTATTGTTCGTTTATTTAGTCGCTGGATGAGGACATTTCTGGAGAAGAAAAATCATTTAGCGGTAGTGTGCTGAAAAGACTTGATAATATGTTAAAAAGGCGAAATGAATCTGGAAAAACTCGCACAGCTACTGAGCGAACATCAGCAGATGAACTCCAAGAGTATGAATCCTCCAAATTTGGGGAAGCACTAAGTAATTTCGAAACCTTGTCACTTCCACGAAGTCGAATATTCGACAATTCCCATCTCAAAACAACCTTTGAAAAGAAATCAGAAAGTACTATTGAAGAAGGTTGGTTTACAAGTGAAGTGGATTCTTCTGGAAATATTAAGAGGAGTTCAAGTCAAAGCCATTACGAAACACAAAGAATCGATCGCATTTCTAGCGAACTCGCACCAATCCAGTCATTGGTCAAATCATCAGAGAGTGAGAGTTCAAGAACTGTATTTTCATCGAGGTACTTGGAAAATTCCACACCTAGTGCAATGAATATACAAAGCGCTAGCATAGAAGAACTAGCAGCTTATGTGATGAATGAAGTGCTAGCCGGAATAAAGAACTTTAAGGAAATCGAACCAAAAAGAGGCGTTAAGTTGCATGGAGAAGATGGATCGAAAATTTCAAGACGAAGGTACGTTTCAGAAACGAGTGGAATCTCGAGAGAGGATAGATGGCGAAGAAAGAAGACTCGAGTTCTCATTGAAGGAATGCAGGATTCGCTCAGAGAAAGTGGTACTATTCATTCGTTGACCCCGGGGGAGATACGTGAAGCTCTAGCCAATTCTGACTTCGAGGAGGTGGGAGATGAGTTCAAAAGCATCTACGGCAAGTAAGCATTGTTCAAAGTTTCCTACATTCCATAATCTACATTATTAATAAAAGAAGTGGAAATATAGAGTTGGCAATTACATTAGTGGATTGAATGCAGTATATGGCGCGTTCGCCAAATAATGCGGTACCAACTCGACAGCAAGTCTAGTTTAGGAGTCTAGATGGTTCACTGCAGAATAACTGGTCATCCTCAAGACTAATTTGAAACAACATCATCTCCCCAATGAGAAGTCCAAAGGTTAAGTAGGACTCTGTTTACACTGGAAAAGTGCAAAGGAAGAGGGAGTGAAATTGAGAAAGAAAGAGTAGTAGTGAGAAAGAGGATCAGTTGATCTCGGGTTCTTTGCTCGTTAATATTCAAAGAGTAAGAAATCATCACTCGATAAGTGAAATACCGGCAACTTGAGTCATTATGGTAAAAGTTGCCGTATCCTATATGGTAAAAATAATAATACAGTATACAGTTTTCGTTATATTACAGCGTTCCATCAAAATCCTTCAGCTTTGAAAGGAAAATTATTTATTTGCAAGTATGGTCAGAACCAATATATCGATAAATGAACACTAAAATTGTTTTTAGTAAGTGCTTATTTCAAATGGCAGGCATTTTGATGGTTATCATCACAGAGGGGAGGAACATTAAAGTGAGAAAAAGTCGAGAGGGGGAATAGAAGAGTGATTCACAGATGAAAAAAGACAGACACAAAGGTAGAGAAAAAGGTAAGGTAAGTACTGTGAAAGTGGTCGAATATGAAATATAGTTTAGACTTTTTGGGGCATGAGTATACGTTGCCCAGGGTGCACCACGTGGAGATGGGTCTACGCACGCCCCAATTTCAAAAGAGGACTATTTGCAGATTTCAATATCCAAGTGGTTCTACTCAACTTTCGGTCCTCCGATTTAAAAAAAAACAGGTAGTTATGTCCTGCTGACTTTCAGAAAAATCAGTCGTACCTGAGTTAATACCTTTATAACTTGATTGGAAACCTCAAGTAGATATGCAAATAAGAACAGCGATACTTAATCGCATTAGAACCGACTGTCTTTGCTATGGTGTTTCTTAGCACCTTTGTGATGGCTCTTTTATAATTAAGTGCCTTCTGGAAGATTAAGAGGTAGCTTCTACATCTTGCCGATACCCTCTCAGAAACTTTGGAAATTGAGCTAAATCATAGCAAGAATTAACCTACATATTGTGCATTTAGACAGATAATCAAATCAGATGACAATAGTCTTCTTCGAAAAATCACGTGTCAAATGGACACAGTCAGCTCAAAGATTGGCGAATCTCTTGCTATTGACAAAATGATGAATCTGCTAAGCGTTTTGAAAGTCGAGGATAAGAAATGCGCAGCAAATGAGCAACTTATGGAGGTAAGAAGGTCTACCTCTTCATTCCTAACTATTCCAGTATTTCCATGAATTGGATCTTGAAAACATGACCTACTTGGGTGCGATGCTGACTCGCGTAAAAGAGCACCTTTCGGCTGAATTCGCAATCCTTAATGCTTTATCTCCTCCTCAGAGAATAGCCTGGATGTCCATTCGTGAAAACTACGAAAATAATCACATTTGCTTATCCATCCTGGGTCAGTTACTACAGTAGGTTTACCCACATTTCTACCAACAAAATACTTATAGGCTGCAGGCAGTCCCACCAGAATTAAATTCCATTGCATCTTCGACAATGGTTATGAATTTACTTGATGCAGTGGCCAGCCTCAACTCTCAAGACATTCTCCCAATCAACATTAATAGAAGCTTCTGCGGCTATTTAAAGGACGAAATTGAGGCTCTTTCTTGGTTTAATATTTATATTCCTGAATTAGACGAAATTCTTAAGGTAAGAGCTCTACTCCTTTAAACGATTTCTATTCAGGAACTGACAGAAGAATACAACGACGAATATATGGTAAATTGAAAAATCTAAAAGATAAGTCACTTATCATATAGGGCCTTCTTGGGGCGGAGGAAAATGGAATGAATGTTAAGCCTTCAATTGACAAAAGCTGTGAGTAAATTCCTATTGTAGGATATATTGTGATTCACAAGTTCTATAGGGTGACATTTCCGTCCTATTTAAGTGCTGGATTTAGTCGTTTCAACAGGATATACCTACGTTCTTCACACAGGAATCGGAATGGAGTTTAGTTATTCTCGAGCAGATAAACAGATGGACCGTATTAGTGCTGTGGACTATATATCAGACCTTCGTAGAAAAACATTAGAAGTAAGAGTATGTTAAAAGGCAATTTTTATTAAGTCACAACCGCCGACACAGATTTTTGAAACTGAGCTCGAAGAAATAAAGAGGACAGTATTTATCCTGGAGAACGCTGAAACGGTAAGCAAATATGAATATATTGCAGTTTTTCACCAATAGATAGAGGAAGCATTAACGAAAATGAACATATATGAACCAGCAGAGAGGACGTTTGTTGCCTATCGCCAACAAGTGACTACCGATGAACAGTTAGCAGATGCTAAAGAGATCTTCCAATTTCTCACCAGATCTCCTCACATTCATCGCAAAGCCAATTTGGAAAAATTCCACGTTGTAAAGTAGGATTTTATTAGATTTTCTCACTTTCAGGTCAAATCCTAATTAATGCCGATATTTTTCTGCATAAGGGTTACTGATCGAGAGATTTTAAGGGACTTAGAAGAAACAAGGCATTTAATATGCAAACGCATTTTATCTAAGAAATTGGGAATAGGGAATAGCAAAGAAGATAATACCACGGAAAAAACTGACAAAATTGATCGAAAATCAGACATTAAACAAGTATCAACCAACCTACAACGGAAGACAACCAGAATACACTGTCCCAATGCTTATGAAGAGAATTGCAAGGAAAGAGAACAATTAACAAATTCATCCCCAAATATAAATTGCTATCAAACCCCATTAACTTCGGGTTTTCTAAAGATTTCATTACAGAGCTTCACAAGAAGTGGAAAAGTTCGCGTTAAAATACATGATTACCCTCTAACCAAGAAAGAGATAAAGGCAATAGAGAATAACTTAAAGGCATATACTTTCAACGAAGATGAGTTATCAGAAAAGAACAACTGCTTACCCCTAGAGAAGCAGGCCACAGACTTGAATGAAAAGATAGCAGAAACGCTGACTAAAAATCCGGAAGCCATTCATGTATTGAAGAGGAATCCAACAATCTTATTGAAGGAACTTCGCCTAAAATCAAAGCCAGGAGAACTCACCCAAATTCTAACCGACGTCGTACGCAAAACTGGAGGTAAGAACTCGAAAAAGATATTCCACCGAGCCCTACAAAGCGCTATTATTGCAGTAAACGAAACAAAACAATTTACAAAAACGTGCGATATTTAATTCTAATAAGAAATTAAAATATTAGGAATAGCATGCATAGATTAAGAGGAAGAATGATAAAAAGGCCATCGGAAATACCATCAAGAGATTGGCAAAGATTAGCTCAGACTGATACTGCAGAGTTTGAGCCATTACCTGCAATATATGGAAAGAAAGTCCACTGTACGGCTGAATATATCAGTCGCCTTGGATATGCTAATATAATAGGTTCGACCCGTGCTTATCTAACACGATTGGATATACTTCAGCATTTACACAAAGCAGACCATTTGAGAGGTAAGACTTATTGGAAAAAAAATTAATACACCACAAAAAATTCATTAAACATAACTTTACTTTTGTACATTTAGCCAATGAACACATACACAATTCAATTGAAGAATGGTAAGTTTTGGAATAAAAGGGAAGCTACCAAGTTTAGGTAAAAAAACACAAATCACAAAAGATAGATAATTTCAAACATCCTCAAACAGTGCTGCAATTTCCTCAAGCGATTCAAGAGACCTGATTTTTGTGCGTCGAGAGGACCTTAGCTCAGAAATTTTAGCCTTTAGCGAACGATAACGATTCTGCGTTTCAGAAGAGATCATTTTGTGATATTCTTTTTCCATTTCATAAATGTGAGCGTTTGTATCCCTCTCAGGATTTCCAGACGGTCGCCTAAGTCATAAAATTAGGAATAATCACTTACCATGGGCGCTTAACTATACATTTTGTGTTGGCCTCATGAATTATTGCTGCTCTTTTAGACACTTCCATGAGCTCAATTAGATCCTTGATTTCTGACTAAAAAGAACCTAATTCGTAAAGGTAAAAGCAACTCACCGTAGATTTAAGTCTGAATTCGTTAATGATCCCCGTTAACATACTGTCAAACCATTCTGGGTCAATATTTTTCAACTTTGAGCACGATTTGTTTAATTTAAGGCTAATTGTTATTTAAATTAATAGAGTTACCTAAAATAAGACGAAAGTGTTTCCGCAATCTTTTCTGTAGCCTCAACAAGCTGCTCACCGGCATCGGGACACCGATCCCCCATTAAAAACCGCAAGGACGCAGAATACTGAAGCGGGCCCGAGATAAACATAAGATACTGATGCGACCAAACTAATCATTTAAAATATAATGAAGAACTTCACTAAGCAAATAAACATTAAAAAGCTATTGAGAATTTCATATGTTATATGACTCTATTTATTTCATGTTTGAATGCAAGGAATAATATTATAATATTTGATATTGAGAACTTTTTCGGACTAGATATTTATTTACATTTAGCTGGAGAATAAGATTCGCTTGGTTTTCTCTTTTTGAATAGAAGAGCTTTTTAATATACGTCCTTAATGGAAATCATGATTTGATTTCTTTTAATGTATATGACAACGGTCATTGACTAATTGTTATCCCATGCATAATAAAGCTGGAACTTTCATCCGAACCTCTTAGCACTTTGAAAAATTTTTTGAATGGAATCATCAGAATTTTCTAATTTGGTTTATAGAAGAATATTCTATTATTAAATAAGAATGATGGATTGAAACCAATAGAATTATAAGAGCGTATTTAATCTCAAGATATGTATAAATAGGATTTTTCAGTAAATTTATAAATACGTGGGGGGCGCGATAGACTTTCCTATACTTGGAGCACCCTGGGCAACGTATACTCATACGGCAAAAAGTCTACAAACCGGCTAATGACTTCTGACTTCAAACTACCACGCCCCCACCGTACGTCAGATTCGACTAATTCAACAGTACTCATTTTACTTTTTCTCAGAATTTGTGTCCATCTGCCTCTTCACATCTGAGAAGCACGTTTCTCCCCCCCAACTCCCCTCGAATTGTTCTCACTATGATGTTCTGCTCTGTGAAAAAAATGCCAAAGCACGAACTTATTTTAAAATAAAAGAAATCGTGTACCCAGCTTTTGCGCTCAAAGTGAAGTTGCGATGGATATAACTAAAGCTCAACAAAAGTAACCCTGGTCGATCGTTTTGAGTGAAGCTTGTATAAATACATATAAAATAAATAACAAGATACACGCCGGCAAAAGCAGTAAGCTTTGCAAACTTTTCCTTTAGAATACATATCAATTACTAATGAAGATCAACAAGCAACACTATACCGACTTGGTTGTTTGTATAATAGAACGGGACATAGGTAGATTAACGATTGATCATAACTGCAAATAAAATTTTAGATGCACTAAATTCATAACTGGATTATCATTAGAATTTATCTTCCAATAATTAAATAAATTAGAAAGTATCATTATGGGAAACTTTTTTGTGGTAGATACGTTTAAGAACTAGTAATAGAGAACATTTAACGCCAAAATCAGCAATATTAAAAAAATATATCGATATAGAGAGACTATTATTTGAAGCTAAATATAATTTAAAGGCAAATTCTTATAATTAATTACAACAAATCTTTTCTCGCTTCTTATTGGCTATTCTTACATTACTGCCGCCTGTTTACTGAGTTTTGGGCTCTGGTTGTTTAAGATGCTTGAGTACGCAAAGAAGTTGGAAGCTTACATGAAAAGTGGTAGCAGACACCCTGTCTATCCCTGGACAGTAGCTTCTCGCATTAGGCAATTCCCGTATGCATGGTATTATCAGAACAACACTTTCGTTCGTTACTACGTCCTCTCAATGCCAGTATTCTTGCCCCTCGGTGTTTATCTTCTCTACAAAGCCCACTTTATCAAGAAGAAACTGACTCATAACTATGATCCATTCAATCCCAACGAAATTCCCGTCCAGAAAATTGGACATCATTAGTATGCCTTGTAGAGTTTTGTCAATTTCAATAGAATGTAGCTGTGCAATTATACGCTTTTATGATTTTTTGGGTTGATTCTTCTCATCGGTTTTAAATCTTCCCAAACCGCCTGTTTTACTTTTATGCTTCGGAAATTATCTATTATAATGATTATTATGAATTACTCGATTATTCTGGGTTTCATTTGCTTTGATTTTTATCTTATTTTGTTTGAATATCTTTTCTGTTTTATTTCTGATAGTTTCTTAGCTATTTCTTGTGATAACTTTGTAAAACTTGTTCTGGTCTCCTGTAGAATAGTTTTAATGCGGATGAGATATGTGGAAGCTTCGTTATCAATACCGTGTCGTTTATTGGGAAATTAACAAGAAGTGATTTAACACAGGTTTGTAATTTTTGGATCCCTTATAGCTTTAGGAGCGAGAAACGCGTATTTCCCTGCCTGTTGTTTCTTTTGACATTTTATAACATAACCGTTAACCTTTATTTACTTTGTTCACAATTCTATTACTTTACCATTTGAAGTACACCAAAGTTCCTGGATCGATCTAAAATTTATGGCCTGTTCCGTACTAACGTCGGTGTAAAGTTCCAATTCTCTTCCAGTTTAGTACTCTTTATCGGATTAGTGAAAATATTTAATGATGGGAATTTAGTTTAACATGAATTTGCCGTTGTGATTCAACGCAGTCAGGTTATGCATTTTCGCTTTTTAATATCAGTTAAGAGATGGGGATGGGAGTAGGGCAATTAAGGTTTCACAAAAACAGAATAAAAGTCTTCGTTTCCCCGGGTTGTAGTGTCACTTGCGTGGAGTTGCCGTTTATCGCTCTTTCGAAAGTCCTTTCGGATCCATCTGGCCACACAAGGCTATTCATTTTGGCATTTCTGACTAATTGATTAGCTGTGATGGTCATTTCTGTCGCCTTAGCTACCCTGCCCAAGGTGAAGGCGTCACTGAGTTCAAACCTTATTGGTCCCACCTCAACTGTCCCGACATGTTGAAATCTGACAAGAAGTTGATTTTTTATCGTTAGATCACCTTCTACGGGCCATTGTTGGACTGTTAGCAGGTGGAGGAACTGTGGTAGGCTTTTGGTGAGAATGGAGTATTTGGCCGAGCGGTCGGCTGAGCGTGAGTCGTTGGAACGATCTTTAAAGAAGAGGGATGGAGGTCGAGAGACTTCTTGAGCTAGTCGGACGTCTATTTGGTTAACCTTTGAAACTTCGTCAAGTACAAGCCGATGAACGCCTCTGACAACGATACCTTAAGAGGAAGATGGCGATTAGGTCGAAATTTATAAATCTCTGATAGGAGAATACGTACTGAGATATAGTAAGTAGAGAATATCTATTACAGCCCGCTTGTTAATATTATCCGAACACGAAAGGTCACATTTGAATCTATTCAAAGTGATCAAAAAAAGTAGGTGACGTCGAATAACAGATATGTTGAATGCTGCCCTGTCCTAATTAAATACATTCAACAGACAAAGTAGTCTTTTTTAGTATTAGTTGTGAGAAGGTGTAAAGAAATTGCACGAATTTAGATAAAAACGGTTATAATTTGTGAATAAAGTCATGTCTTCGGAGGATCTTCATTTTATCTCTGGTTGATATGTTATATAATGCTCCTTGTTTCAATATTGGACTTTGTCTGCGGAGGTTACTTGGTGTATTCATGTTTAGATCTTTTTAGAAACTTTATAAATTAAAACTATTTTCTTCACCAAGAGTATCTATTTGATGGTAGTGATATTAGCAGCAAATTATCTGCTCTCACATCAACTTCGTAGATGAGAGAGAATTTACAATTCTTCTGTCCATTGTCAGTTCTTGCTGCTTCTAAACCAATAGCGAGTAACTAACTTGACTCGTTACATGGCGTATCAGAGAACACAATAACTTATCTCCATTGGAAACTGGCGGACTTTTGTTATTTCTTCAAGCAATAAATTATGCCTTGTTAAACAAGGACAAAGTAAAGCTGAAATGTACTAATGTCACAGGCTGTGCATTATTTGAACATTCTTTAATTACAGTGGCATAAAGTGTAATAGTAAAAACAGTGATAAAGCCTTAATTAATCATTACTATTAAGAAAACGCTGAAATTTAATAAATAATCTAAATATTGATTGTGATAGGATCCAACTTCGGTTATCGCCTTACGATATTTAGATAGATTGACTAAGAAGTGTAGTTTAATTAAAGGCCTCAATATGAAGTGAGTTGATTTTAAAAAATCAATATCTCTCTGACTGCGAAAGTGAAAGCGATGTAATACTTGTTCATTTCAAACTCTATTGAAGGAGTTTTCCAAACGCAAGTTTTCGAAGCAGCAGCAACAAGTGCAAGTTACTGTTAAACAGTCTCCATACGAAGGGACCACAAATCATCGAAAGAATTGGACCAATCCCTCGCCCATACCCCCACCTCTCTTCTAAAAAGAATTTTAAGCTTTTCTTGTCAAACATATTTTGACGTCAGTTCTATTTCATTGGCCACTTGTAAAATGGGCATCTGAGTTGAAACTCCATGCCAGAGTAAAGCCTCCCTCCCTTGGGAAGCTAAGTTGTCCAGCAAGTCATGCCATTGCTCAAGACAAGAAGAAAAGCGGCTTTTTATAAGGCTACGAGGACTTTTCTTCACTTTATTAGGAAAAAACTCAGTTTACACCAGTGTAAATACACTGTAAAAATGATTGCAATGGAATTTTGGGTGTGAATCTTGAAAAATGATCATCAGAAATGGAAAGTTTGCGAATATACTGATGACATGACTATTTGGGAATAGATCTTGCAAATCCTGCTTTTCTTGAAGTTAGGTAAATGCCATATGGGAACCTCATATTTTCATTTTCAGATCAAAATTTAAATCGAGTATGAACTGACCACATGTTATCTATTAACTCGAACTAATGTACAAGCATGCAGTGTGTTGTGAACGAATTTCGTTCAAAGCATTTTTGTACTTCCTTTTTTGGCATCGAATGTGGTCGATTTTACCACCAATAAGACGCGAAATTTCGTAGCCGCTATTGATCCAACTGACCTAAAACATTCTGTGATAATTCACGGAAGTTCTCCCAGATCGTCAGAATACGATGTTTACATGATTTCACAAAAATTTAAGATCTTGTTTAGATTCAAAGCTATACTTTGTAGGTTACGCGCTCTGGTTTTGCTAAAAAATGTTCCCTGTTCTAGACGGCACACTTTATAAACAAGTCGAACATGTGACCCACATGCAATCCGTGATTTAATTTACCATTTTGAATTGATAACTTGGGAACTAACTACATTAAGCCAGCCTAACACAACAAACACATGATGGAGCTTTGAGAATTACTGACTTAGTAATGAATTTGAATCTCAACTTTTGTTTAAGGTCTTCCTAATATATTGGGAGTTTTGTAGAAATTGTGGCTTAGACAAGGCACTCTAGAATGATATGACAACAAGATCTGTAAGAGAATAAAGGAGGAAAGATTAATCAAAATCATTCAAATAGGCCAAGTTAAGAGGCAGCGACTACGACCATTTGCCACGATCTAGAGTCGGTCAACTGCTGTTTCAATTGTCCAAGCTATTGGTGACTGTTGGAGTTTCGAGCTGTCCGACTAGGATGTTACATTCGACTATTTCTGATTCTTCAGTAGCAACGTATTTGGCTGACATCTGTTAAGTCAAAATATTGGCAAAATTTCTCATCTATTTTCTGAATTCTCAAATAAATTCTTGGAAGTGCCAGCTTCCGTCCTACCTCCTACTGAACCCTCCTACTTTCAGGCTGTGCAAAAGGCTTATTACCTCTAATTTGGCAAAAGAAGAAGATCAGTAACATCAATTAAGAAAATTGAATCAACAATCAACTTCAACGAACTCTTGTACTTGGGAATATTTGTAGACCATGGCATCATTCATGTCTACAAACGCGCTAGATATGATATAAGATATTAAGAATAGAGATAAGCTATCATGATTGGTCAGCCTTCTTAGATATTTAGACTAATGGCAGTTAGCGCTAGTTTAATAGAAGGTGTGGAGCAGTGGTCAACGGGAATGGCTAAAATCAGTGAACAAGCAGTGATGTGCAACCAATCACATTTACAAATTCTGGTCAACACAAAATGTGGTAGGAAGTGCGTTTCTCGTAAGTGCGACTCCAGGTTGTCTTCAATCTAGCCAAGCCAGGTAGAGTAAAAATTGTCTTGATGGGTGGTGACATTTATTTAGAAAGAACTCACCTTCACCATATGCCCGTTCATTGAGTGGCTCACCAACACCCAAGCCATCGTCAACAGTAGTTGCTCTGTGGAGCATGAGTTCAATGTCTCCGTCTGCCAAACTTGAACCTCCTTCGGATCGGTCAGTGTATACTGCGAAGACATACGTTGTTCCTTTGATCATGATGCGATTCACAACTGGGAAGTAGCTTCCCTCAATGCGATGATTCTTCAGGGAGTCACGTGAATCTCGACCCCACATGTTGGGAGAAATAATCTCGGCCATTTTAGGATAATTAGTTTCGGCATCTTCAGTACCCAGTCGTTGTCGGCGAATGAGGTCATTACCCATGGAGTCAGTGTAGAACTCTCCTGAAATAGGCCAAAGATAAGGATCTTTAATTTGTGTAATTGTGAATACACTCACCTAGCACTAACCGAATTATTTAAACTTGACAAATTTATGGGGTTCGAATATACCTTACAACTTAAAAATAAGCTGAATGATCTCCATGCCTAAAATTAGGGCGAGAAAAGAAAAGATTTGGAGTTTGATATTTGTTCTTTTGTACATCCTATAACATCCTGCTAAAATGGGAAAAATGCGTCTGTTTCATCACGGAAACTGCTAATTACTTTTAAACATATCACATATTACCTCAATTTAGCCAGTAGCAGTTGTAAGGGTATTGCAATCAATGCAGACATTAGTGAAAGCGACTTAGTCATGGGCTTGGCCTACAACTAGGATCCATGACTAGGAACGTCACTCTAAGCTTTGAATACTTCTCAAGGTTAGTGGCTAAAATGCATGTGATTGCAGGAGCCTAGTGAATGCCCAGGTATGACTCTGCTAGATGAAGTTATTTAATGGCTGTTCATCTAAAACGAAGCAACCCTATCTCGGCGTCCTTAAATTCGCCATTTTAATCACAATCCGGACCCCACACAACCAGCGCTGACACCTGTTCATGTTCCTTCAAATCACCAATTCCTCCTTCAACTTTTTTCACTTTTCCTCTCCCGTTTCGCCACTTTGGCCCAAATACACATCTGATTATCTGATTTTGAAAAAAATAACTATATTCTGATAGCTTTTAAGGGGATAGGTGCTTTGAGTAAGTAAGTACTTTGCTACAAACACACAATCTTCTGTACCTAACACACAACGTCATATTTCTTCTCAATGATTTCTACGTCATTGTAATTGGGAATCAGTTCGATAACTTAAACGGCAATAGCTTAAACACCCACCTCTGTTGTAGGAGCTGAACTCATCATATGAAGAAACACGAGGACAGTTTGCCCCCTCCAAGTAAGGCAATCTCATTTATATTGAAATGAAAAATTTATATCTTTTTAATAATTAATCCTAAAGAGTCATCAATAACGAAAAAAGTGACCGGATTAACCTCTGTTCTAAATATCACCCCAAGTACTGCCATTACTTTTCTGAATAGTAAAAAAGAATAGTTTGAGGTGAAGGGTGGAGATGGTGTTTCGATGGGAATTTTCACAAGAAACAGGTCCAGCATTGGGGCATCGATATAGGGATTCATTTTATTAAGCGATAAATAGAAATTTTGCTCAACTGAAAGGAAAGTTTTGCTTAAAATTCTTCCGTGTCGTATCACTTTAACTGAAGTGACATTGAAATAAAATGAAAAAAATGAATGAATATTTAAATTAAGACTATAACATAAGAAATTCAATAATACTTCATTATTAAATACAATTAAAAACTGAGATTAAATTTAATGTATAATCCTCATACAAATTTCAAAAATATTTTAACATCATTCAGTTTGGAAATTCGTTATTAATGACTACAAAGACACTAACATCTGAGAATTTTTACTTTGCTATTCATTTGAATTAATTACATCATTAAATCAAAACTGTTTCCACTAATTACTAGCTTCAAGGATTTACATTAACATATCGCAATTTTTTCTTTCCTAACCTGGGCCTAAAGAAATTTCTAAATAAAATTAATATTACTGTAAAGTATAAAATTAAAGCAACTAAGCAGGTTTTCTTCGTCAATGGTTTTCTCGGCGTGGCGTATGCAGGTTTACTGAGGCAAGCTTTATGTCATAAATAAGAAGAGGTGTGAAATAAAGTTAAACGTCGCTTTTTTACTTGAATGAATTAAGAAAGTTAATTCAAAATCTCTTTGGCAAAAAAAACGAACTAAGCTTTGGTAACCATAATTTCGATAACTCACTCGGTAACCTACACTTGAGTTGGTGATTCACCAACAGCACAAAACTGAAAGTTAAAGTTGAATTTTTTTCTAAACTTGTTTAAGTTAATCTTCGAAACGCGATTTTTTAGAGATGAAATCATTCATTTACACTCCTGACTGCTGACAAGTTTGGAATAATTCACCCTCTATTTAAACCTATTTAACCTCGGCTATTTGCGAGCAGGCATAAGTTAAATTAAAAAACAAAGGACATAGGATTTCAGCTTGTTCGATTTTGTTATTGATTTACTTTTGACCCTCTCAAGTTTATCCCATTGTTTGACTCAATTGTTATTGATTTCGGTTTGCTATTGCCTATGGTGCTTCCTTACTTCTGTACATGCTAAATGTATTGAGCACCTTAAAAGTGACCCATTAGCATCTAATTTAATGGAACCATAAACTATCTTAACGGGCTCTAAATGTACATAATTAATAATGGCCAATCGGTTCGATTATGATTTTTAGGGGTGTAATTACTGAAATTATTGTAAATTTTAGACATTTTTTAATTAGTTCAGGCACCCTTTATCTGTTTGTTTCTTCCAAAACTGTCGCCTGTAAATTTCTTTCGAAATCCATTATTCAGTCTTTTTAAAGTAATCTGTTTTCAGTCAATCTACTGTTTCAACCGTAATTCGTGTCTTTTCAGTAATTCTTAGCCAATTAAGAAAATGTTCATTTTTCTGTCATGTTTCAATTTTGATCACATCATAGATAGTGAAACCCCATTAATTTAAAGAAATAAATTAATAAAAAGAAAAATTCATTAAAACAAAGCTACCATAAACGAATTAAAACGTTGAAATGCTTGCTTTAAACCTAGATTAATTTTGATTGCTTTACCACGATTATTTGGTAGAATGCCAGGACCTTCAACGTGATAGCGTAGAATAATTTCACTAACACGATGGCCGATCTGTGGAAGGGGTCCAATAATCCATTCAACTTCAATTTTATCATCGGCGTAGAGACGAGCAGAGAGATAAGCCCATGAAGTGAAGTTTGTGCGAACTTCGGTCACCAATTCTCCACGGATTATCTTAAATTGAAATTCATAAGTTTTACAGACACTTCTTGAATAAAATTTACAAGAATCAGATTGCTAAATCACGAAACCTGAACATAAGGCCATTACGAAGTAACTGTATAATGAAAAAATGTGGAATTCGGTGTCTTGCAAATTACGCCAAATTAAAATTCTTCGTTTATTGACTTCAATAACTACCTTTTTCGACTTTCCCCTGTTCACCACCTTACTGGTCTCGCATTCTGCCACTTTTGGACATATTCTTCTTCACGTTTAAAAGCTTCGCATTTTTGAAATGTCATTTGCAAAGTTAAAGCAGAAAGCGTTAGTTAAAAAAGGTCAGTATTCATCAGGATTTTCTATCACAGACTGATCCAGGAAATTGGTTATCAGAAAATCGACCTAGTTACACTGATAAATTGCCTAATTTATCACCCCATTTGTTCGCTAATACTGAAAGATTGCAACATTACTTACACGAGGTTCAGTTGATTTACAATCAAGACATTTACCGATTTTTCACTATGCTATTCATTCATGAGGATAAATAACTCGTTCACACTTATTTCCCATTCAGTAAAGATATCTGAACGATTACTTGTATTAGTTATAGTAAAATTTACGCAAATTTATGTTTAACTTTCTCTATTGTTTTCAATTAATACTAACTCAGATTTCTTGAAAAAAATATAAAAACAAAAATTACTTCATCACCGGGCTAGATCAAGTATGTGGGCGAAACCGTAATTCTAAGTAATTCTTAGGTCGCATTTATCCGAAAATGGCCTTGAATTTTCAAAGGAATAAATCAGCCAAAGTGAGCATTTTCCAAGTTGAATAATGGCATGTGGATATTAGGAGAATGGAAGCCAAATAACAAAATGCACACAAAAATAGGGCACTGATGGTACAGGTACAGTACAGAGGCGTGCTAGGTTGTGTATCAAAGGTCATGATGTAAGCTTTCCGTGCTAGATGTAAACTATGTTTTTTCTCGTAATATTTTGTTGTTGGAGCTTTTAAAAAAATGTCACGGGTCGAAACATTTGAGAATCAAAAAAGAGAATTATGATTACAATTATAAAGCGAACAACAAGGGCTCTCACAATTAAGAGAAGTGGAAACCAGAATACCACAATTTCACCATTTTTCGCAAGTTCGTTAATGGTTTCACACTTCTTGGCTTCTTGCCTTAGGTATTAAAACTTTTTGATATGGGAGGTCATGTTAGACATGCCACAGTTGAGAAAAATTAATAAACTGAGATCAGGTGCGTCAGAAAAATGTTTTGAGGACAAGCAAACATTTACTAAATCAGAGATTACAGATTTGTTGCATATAATGAAAGGGATACATTTGACGTTAGTATTGGTAAGCTCATTTTCTGGTCTTAAGTTGGAAATTAAACAAGTTACACTAATTTCTTCAAGGAATATTCTGATATGATGCTGGTAGTTGTGTTGCTTCCACATTATTGAGGTATTACGAATTTGACGCATTCTAAAGACTTCAAGTATCATAAAAGTGCTAGAATTAGCATCTAACATGGGATAGTCTTCTCTATTCTCAGCATTTTGAAATCAAGTGTATATTGCTTTTGAGGGAGTTCTATGGAGAAGAAAGCGCCTAGTGAGATTGAAGAGAGATCCAAACAGCCAACGATACTGCATAGTGCTCTAAATGAGCGATTAATGCGCATGAAATACAACAAAGAATGTTATTTATCATATTTTCTTTAAGTAAATCAACACTTTTTTAAGAAAGGATAATTTACGAGGAGGTGAGGAATTTGTTGCATAAAATAATCTCAATAAGAATTTTCAAATTCTTTTCCTCTCAAGTATTTTTGAAAGTGAATTTAATCACAGCTTCCTAATTGTTAGTAAAGCATTTTGAAATTGGCTCACTTTATCATCGCCACGTAATGGACGATAAATCAAATTTGAGCAAAATTTGGTTAATTTAATATGATTTCAAGGTTGCTCTACTTGAAAGACAATATGAAACAAAATGGAAGGGTTTCTTTGGCAAAAAATAATTTTCCGTCTGAATCGAAGCAATAAGATGGTGCTTACACAATATTTTTTAATGTGTTTTCAATATTTTTTCGAGCGGTTTGGATGTTAGGTTTTACTTAAAGATTTCAATTCAGTTTAGATTCTGTACGGGCTCCTAAGAGGTCAGAAGCATAAAACAAAGATATCAGGTTTGAGTAGCAAAATAATATGTTGTTCAAGACGTGATTATGACGATCTTATTTTACTGCAAAAATATTTTCATTTGGCCTAATTTTGAAATAAATCAACTATCTCTAATAATTCTGATACGTATAAATGACCAATGGCATGATTAGAGGTAAGATCAAATGCAGGAATGTTATTTGCAGTAAAATTTCATTGTCGATCGTAAAATTTGCACAATAATTTCGGCTTTAACGTTGAGGGATTAGAGAAAAATAAATAATAACTTGTAAGAACTTGAGATTATTTTAATAAATATTACGTATAATTTAGCATAAACAGTCAGTTTACGATGTTTAGAGCACATTCAAAAGTGCGAGCATTATTTTTCAAGTAGTTAAAGGCATTTCGAAATGTGCTCTGATATTTTAAACATGCCCTTATTCATCACATCTACCTGGTCTTGACTAAAAGTCTCATGACCCACAATTCAGTTAAATCGACTCGTCAGCTATGCAGGAATACATTAGCGAACTTGAACTCATTGACACTCGAGGTTCCAGCCATTAAAAAAGAGCTTCGAAAAATTTGAGAATCAAAAAAGAGAATTATGATTACAATTATAAAGCGAACAACAAGGGCTCTCACAATTAAGAGAAGTGGAAACCAGAATACCACAATTTCACCATTTTTCGCAAGTTCGTTAATGGTTTCACACTTCTTGGCTTCTTGCCTTAGGTATTAAAACTTTTTGATATGGGAGGTCATGTTAGACATGCCACAGTTGAGAAAAATTAATAAACTGAGATCAAATGCGTCAGAAAAAAACGCTAAAGTAAGCCACAAAAGTCACAAAATTATATGAAGATGTTGAATAAGACCCGCACTTAAATGATAACGCTCATTACATTGCATCGTTTATTATTATTATTAAAAACTGTGAGTTAGTTTTCCCACTGCGCTTCGCAATTAATGTGTGTAGTCAGTAATAGGACAAATTGTATTCACACTGAATAAAAGTGCAAATTATCGAAGGGTAGATAGAAATTAACTTCCCACACGTTAAAACACTGCCATCAGCGCATTCAATTATACTGTCGTGTCTGTAATAAGGAAACTTCATTCATTCCAAAGTGCATTATGCAATTTCTCGTCTAAGATTTATTGAGCAAAGGCAACTATAATGAATTAAACGTTGTTGGAAACATTGACATCCTTTTAAGTGCATTGCTGCTGAAGCACATAATATGGGTTACCCTAAGATGGTTTAAAGCACAGACCAAAATGGACTCAGATTTTTACAAATAGAGAAACAAGCATGTAGGAGTATACGCATTCCTCCCTTTATGCCTCCCAACTTATCTCTCTATCTTTCAAACATCTCACACATTTCATGCCCTTTCATATTACATCGTCTTAAAATAAAAGTTTGCCTTATACTGCGACTTTTTTAGACCCCGTTTCCTAAACGACCATCAATCCAACCATCATGAGTTATTATCATGGGAAAAAATTCATCACTATAGTACTCATTGTTTGGATAATGTTTTCTTTTGCCCCTCTACCTACTCCTAAACCAAGTGTCACCCACAATTTAGCTCTGTGTAGCTATATACAATACTCCTAACTGGTAGTGGCTATTAGTAGTCGAATTCCCTTGTAAATATCGATATTTCTACAAGTTTTTATTCTATATTACGAATGCCAGTATTTATAAGAAAACTCACTTCCGAAATTGGATTTCCAAAAGCAGCAGCTTCACTAAGAGCTCGGAAAACGTAGGCTCCGGAAGATGGCCTACTGTAGAAATTCGCGTCATAATTTAGAAATCGCATGGATATGCTATGACCCTCTCTGCTGCGAAATAGTGGTAGGTTATCTGGACCGATTTCCAACGAAAACCGCTGTTGATTCACTGGACGCTTGTATCCGTACCTGTAAGATTTTCTAAAGAAATGGTAACTGAATTTCAGTTGGATCGTGTTTACTTAACGTTTAATGCTTTAGTGCAACGCTATTAAGTTACTAAGTGCATAATTGACGGGAAAAGCGCCATCTTTTAGAATATCCATCTGAATATTCTTGCAAAATAAAAAAGACAGATAATTTTTGTAAATATTAATTTCACTATTAAGAAAGCAAGTGTCAAACCTCAAATTGAAGTTTAGAAGTGACTGACTTACCCATAGTCACTACTTGCTTCACCTTTCAGTGCAAAAAGTGTAAAACCGGCTTGTTTGAGACCTTCACTAGGTTTAAAGATCAGTTCGGAAGAGCCTTTGTGGTGAAGTGGGCGCCTTTCTGGAAGTTTCAGAACAGGCAGTGGTACTGGAACAACTTGGAAGGGTATCGTCTCACCAGTGGTATAATCAGTCAGAGTGAAGGAGGACAGCCAATCGAGTTGGTCCTTCGTAGCATAAAGGGGCACTCGCAGCCAGGGCTGGATATCATTCCAACCAAGGGGGTTGTAGACAGCAATTAGAGTATTAGGATGAAGGGATTTTGAAGTAAGTGGCGGACACACAGAGACATTAAGATTCTCACAAGCACTAAAACCACCTCCTTGAGAACTGTAACTTTTTTCCAATAGGGTGTCAGCTACAGCGCTAACGAGTTGACTACATCCCTTCATGGCATCTGTTAGACGCTGACGGTAGTCATTGGAGACATGCTGTTTATCGGTACCGGTTACTGCATCATGATGCTGCATCACACCCATTACTCTTCGAAGTTGGTCGACAACTTGATCGGGAGTTTGAGCGATACCATTTTTAAAATCATAGATGTTTTGGGTTGGATATCGATAACGGGACCCGAGATTTGGCTTTATAAGGTGGGCCTGTCGAATGGAAATAAGTGCATTCAATTACAAAACCGACGTGACACTTGCGAGCTAATCACGCTTGCATTAAATACGTCCGATAGTTATTTTAGCATATTAACGTAATTTTAGACTCTAGTGTGAAAGAAAATATTTGTTTCAAAATTTGTCACCGGCATTTGGAACTCCTCAAATCAAATAAAATTGAATTTAAAACACATTGTCAAAAAGAACGCTGCTAGCGTCATAGAATATCAAATACACAAACGAGCTGAAGAAGACTATGACAAGTTATTCTGATATAAATTAAATATTTCTTCTTACCTAAGGAAATTAGACCCAAAATCTAACCCACCCAATAAATAAAACCTGGGCGCTGTATCGTTTTGACTATTTCGACTGGCGATAAATTTGCATGCTTGGTTTACTTTAATTTGCCAGCTAGCAAATGAATGCAAACAAGGGAGATCCGTGTTTACTTGAGTAATAGTAGTCATTTGATTTGCACTGCTTTATTGTTTACTTGGGAGTGTGGAGGGAGGGAGGGAAGGAGGGGAGGGGGGCAAATGTTTATCAATTTTATATGGCAAGATAAGCTTAAGTTAAAGTCCAGACATGCCAGTCTAGATGACCAACTATGGAAGGGTTTCAGTTAAAGTCTGCCCATGCATAACTCTGAGCAAGACCCTAAGATATCGGTTCCTATTAACACTATTGCAAGCATACATAGCATTACAAGACGTGATCTGGCAATATTTTGCTCTCTGGGTCGATCTTGGAAGTTTCCAAAATGCCACAGCTTAAATATCCGCATTATAGTTCGCCGTGAGCAAAAGCTGGTGCGCAGATTTAATTTTTTTCTCCTGGCAGTATCTTGGCTTTTAGAGGTAAATGCCCTCGAAGAAAAGATAAGCCATAGCAAATTGTAGCTCCATAACTTTAAAGTTGAGTGCGGCAACACCAGCCAATTTTTATTGAAATTTGCTAGTTCATGTGAAAGCTTTCCAGAACTAATGAATTATGAATATGCTGACATTTCTGCAAACTTCCTTTCATCCATCATGAGATAAACGGTATTTCCCAGACAGGAAATTATATGATTTAGATGGTTAACATTTATTATTAAAAAGGATAAAAATATAGTGATTTACTTCAAATCACCCACTGTCCAATTTAGAGGAAGATGAATGCAGTTGGTGAAAATCAACAATCCAAATTTAGTTAAATGTCAAGGAATAAACTTATCTCAATCAAAAGTAACGATGATAGTGAATGTTAGCTATCATTAAAGATTAATTTCCTTTTGAAAGCTAAAAGTGCACCTATCGCAAAAATGTATGAAGTTTAGTAATCTTACATTTCGTGTGACCTTCCATTTTGAACAAAACTCTGCCAATTTTACGAATTCATGCATATATGCGGGCTACCAATGTCAAGGAAAAAGCAATGACAAGACACCGACAAAAGAACACCCCACCTCGACATTTTCTTTCTTTGCAAAGAAGTGGATACTAAGTCGTTTCACGTGAGACGAAATCTGTATAACTACTGCAAAAATCCCTCTGTAGGCCTTTGCATGACCTTGGGGAAAAGAAAACGGAACGAATGTGCAGTTTGTTTTATTCAACAGGAGAAGGTACAGCGTTAGTACCAGAATTATCTAGGCCCTTATGTTTTCTGTTATCACTACTAAAACACAGGTACACATTAGAAAAATCATAATTTTAAAGAAAAAACAGAACTAGAAGCAAATAATTTAAGGCTCTCGAAGAAATTCAAATGCCAATTGACTAATTATATATGCAACTATTATGTACAACTAAGCTTCTTTATGATAATTGATTACTATTCACACTTTTTGTACTTTAAGGAGGTTTGGTTGGTAAAAAGAGTTTCCTTGAATTCGTTTACGCGTACCTGATTAGAAGATACGAATGCGTCGAGAAAATGTGATCAAAAAATATAGTAAAGATAGTTTGATAGAGCTAAGTTGAGAACTAGGACTCCAAAAAGTATCGAGGGATTGAACCTTGTAGAACATGGTGTACTAAAGTATGTCCATGGGGGAAACGTGAGGCCACTAATGGCTTCATAAACAAGAGACGTCATAGCCCTGAAAAGTGTATTCTGCATAGACAAATGAAGCTTCCGTTCGGAAAGTTTTGTGATAGCGAAACTAAGTATCAAAAATGTCAAATTATTAAAAAGTTGAATTAAATGACTATATTGTGATAAGGACATTGAGAATGCAGTAGGAAAAAGAGCGAACAGTGTCTTTTAATGTTTGTAGAACATAATGAAGGAACCTGTTAATTCCACACTTGAAAGGTTCAAGAACTCCAAGTTTCAGCATTAACTTTCGGTCAATCTTTTTGTTAAGACATGATTAATTATTTAAGAAATGGCACCTTTTGGTGGATATCTTAATTGTATATACAAAACCCATTATTAGAAGTGTTAATAATACTCCATTTGAGTAGAGAAAAAGGTTTTTAACCCTCTTTAGGGTTAACCGATGAGTACTGACTTCGTGACCACCGACTTGGCAGACGTGAGCAATGAAGACTAAGTACGATAAATGTGTAGATACCTTAAAGTTGCAGCAAAAATGTGGACATGATTTCTGCCTACTTCTACTGTTTAATTGAATAAATATTAGATCCATCACGAATTGGCAGGAACAGCTGGCCATTTCATCACTTCTTATGGTTCTCAAACTTGGATCATGTCTCCTAAAAATGGTTTCACAAGACTTATATATTGTGGATAAAACCATCAAGTTTTGGGATCCAAACAATTGTAATGCCCATGGATGAGTTGCAATCTCTATTCGTCTCGCATTAAAATGATTCCATACTTGAAGTAGCTGATCCGTCTGAACAGGATGAAACCTTAGTCCTCTACGTAGTAACTATTTTTAAACCCTGAATAGGCTAGCACCATCCAATTTTGTTTACACGAACCCTGCACCAAGCGGAGTTTTAACCAACCTTGCCAATCAGTCGAGGCATAACTAGCAGTGCTTGCCTTCCTTCAAATTTGGCCTATCAATTAAATATGGTATTTCGGTGAAGGTTTCTTAGGAATTGAGTGAAGGAATAAGAAAACTCTGGGCAAGATTTGGGCATAAATCACGCACAATCTGTGAGAACATTTGTGCATGCTTGATTTATAAAAGAGAGTGAAAAGTAACTGCAGAATCCCTAATTGCTGAATTTATACGTTAAGATACTGTCTGGAAAGTAAAATTTAACCTCAAACGACTTGTTGTAACTTACCAAGAAGTGTTGAACGATTCTGAGAAGGTTATTTCTAAGGCTTTTAAGGGAAACGATGAAGGTGTGACACTCTGGAGTCACTCTTATGAGAAATTCTAATTCTATTATTCTTCTTCTTATTAAATACCATAAACCAACCTGGTTTGGCATCTGTAACAACGGATGCGAAACGAAGGAACATCTGTCTTCCAACTTGAACCACCACCACTACGTTAGTCGGTGAGTTTTCAGTCAAGGTGAAGTGTACCTAAACGCTAGTTCTCCTGACTTAGGAATAAATTAACAAAATTAACGCTTTCAATGAAGCATTTTCACTCCCTCGTTGCACTCAACATAGTAGGTAGTCGGAGAGTGTTAACGCACGTACGCCTGAGCATTAGCAAAACAAATTTGCGCTTTACAAGGTAAACCAAATAATATATTTATAGCTGTTTATCCGATTGAATTTGCGAGTCCGTGAGATTTCGGTACCTAGCCAATTCAGGGTTCATGATAATCGAGATCCACACGTGAACACCAATTATTACTAACACCATTATTGTTCATAACAAAGCGTGGTTTCAGTCGTGCAACATAAATTGTGTCAGGAATTGTGTCTTATTTGGATAATGAATGTATTGAAGTTAACACAAAGCCATCAAAAACCTGGTAAATTTACCCTGGAACGTTTTTTCTCCTCTCGGTTCAAATGTCCATGATCGATTGAATGAAATGGAGGTTTTTAAGGAAATTAACCATAATATCCTGATACAACTTTGTTTCAAAGCTGGCTTACTACCTTAATTTAAAAAATTGAAAGGAAGATGATGTACTTATGGCATTTGAGATTGAATTCCTTACATATAATATTATGATCAGGTTTAAGGAACAAGGTTTTAGTTTCATTAAACCAATATGCTTATATTAACTTTCGGGAACACATTGAAAGAAATCGTTAGACATGTCGATCACCCCGAAATTTAGAAATTGCCAAGAGTACCATTTTGTAATATTTTTAGAATTTGTTATCGAATTAATTAATTTCCCCATTTAACTATCTGACTTAGGATGGATAGCCACACACGAACTAGCCTGTATGCATCCAGATATTCCATATCTAATAAACAACTAGACAAAGACCCTCAATTTTACCAATCTAAGAGGTTCTCTGCTAAATCAAAGCTCACTTGTTCACAAACACACGACGCTCCCTCCTCCGACACTATGAGTGGAATTAGCTTATTGCTTTCTGTTTAAACACACTCTACTCCACGTGATATCTGTACAGAAATATGACAAACAGTCCAAATAAATTCAAATAAACCACTACATGTTTTTAAGATAACATGAATTTAAAAGAAGTAAATATTGATAATATTTAATAAAACTATTTCATTTAACTAAACATTGGTTTGTAAAAGGATTGCAAATTGAAATATTTCTCACTAAAATTAACGACTTAAAACTTCGAAAAGAACGATTTAAACATTTTCTATTACAAGAAGATAGAGGTGTCTTAATCATGAGGAAAAAGTAAAACCAGGGTGTTTTACTAACCTGCTCACAAGCTGCTAGCAACGAGGAAGCTTCTCGAACCATTAGCTTTTGTGAAGGCCTGCTGGTATAGAATCCCGTCCAGAAGGTGTTGGAAGCACTAGCATAAGGGAAGAAATCCCCGTCCCTCTGTGGTATTGTGCCCTGTTTCTTAAAAGCTGCATTCACCGATTTAATATAGCAAGTTGGACTGGAGTAGAGAAGATGAACAGGCTTTACGTTTCCCGATGACTTGAATTTTCCGTTTGACCATTCCTTTTGCTGTTGGGCATTCACCTGCTCAATTAGCCTATCTAAATTGATGAAATTTAAGTTGGCATTCTCATAAGTGAAATCGCAACCCATTGGTACAAAAATGTGGTTTGTGGCGTAGCTGGATGAGACCATTCTTACATATTCAAGGAACTGGCTAACTCTCTGAGGGGCATTATAATTGGTAGCAAGGGGATCGACTATCATCGGTGGATCATCACATTTTGCATCAAAACAGAATCCTGGCGGTGAGCAGTAGCTTTGATAGAGTATATGAGTGAAAAGATGGCTCTTATTATTTGCAGGATCTACCTTCCAAAGAACTTCCATAGTCTTTTCTTTCAACCGTTTACGTTTTTCCTTGTAATCCATGCGCTGGAAAAAGACTCCATCAAAACCAGCCTCCGTGAATATTCGAGCTTGTTGTCGAGCGTGCCCAAAGGGATCAATCTGCCAAGCAACTCTAGGTCGGCCACAGTCTCCAAAAGTGGCATTAAGAAAAGCCAAACCACGAGTGAGTTGATCAATTGAGTCACTGTAGTGAACTACGGCTTCATCATTCATGGACCATCCACCAAGGGCGAATTCCAATTGACCATTTTTAACCAGCTTATGAACTACGTCCTGCATGGCCGGGGTTTGAAGGCGCCACCAACGCTCAAAGAACGCCATCTCAACGTAAACAAACTTTCTGTTAGGATTTAATGCCAATGCATGCATAACGGAATCAAGAATGTATTGAACCGCAGCTGTCTGGTAAAATTTGGCATCGCCAAAGTAATACTGGTCGATATTTTTCAACCATCCAACATCGTCATGGGTGTGAGGCACAAGGTGAACATTGATGTGATCATCTTTGGTGGGAGGACATAGGGAATATCCGCATTCTTCTCCCAAAATAAAGGGGAGAAAAAAAACAGGCAACCAGAGGCCTATATACAACGTCATACTACGGTATATCAAACTAAAATGATGCATAATCGCAAATTCCAGCCTTGTTACGACTTGACAACGCCACCCAAATGGTTAGCAAATCAGATTTGAGCGTTAAGTACGCGCGTGCTAGATTTGAATGAATGTGCTAACGACAACACCCCCATTGACGAAGGAATAACAATTGCATCTTAAAGTTTAAATAAGAATGAAAAATAGTGTTGGAAACTATGCAGTATATCGACTATTTTCAGAAAAAAATTTTAAATTTTGAAATTACATTGAAGAGAGGAAATGCTATTAAAACTAATGAAATTAAATACCTCTTTCACTGCAGAAAAACAAAGGATTACCAAAATGAAGAAAGATAAATATATAGAACGCAATCAATTTATTAAAAGTAATTAATGCTTTTATCTTGTAAGTGTAAATTACTGATAATTATAAGATGACCAAAAAGCATTGTTTTCTTACCTATCAACCGCAAATCGCCTCAGACACAATACATTTCAGTGAGTAGGTTAAAACACACTTCCTTAAGGTAACTTAGTCATTTAATGAAGCGTATTTATTGAAATAAAAGTCTTCATGAAATTGAAGGTTAGCCTGGCTACTAGATTGAGGACAGAAGAGTTAGGCCGTTGGTCGACGGCACTGGAGAATAAATGCAAAATTTGGTTTCCCCATCGCCAGACAAATCACGAACACTGCAGCCTTGATTTAAGATCTCATGGTTTATGCAGACCACTAATAGCAGCCCAATGGGCCAGCAAACTGACAAAGAACACCCATTAAATTGACTCAATTTTTACCATAGATTTTTTGTAACGTTTCTCAAAGCGATTGACAAGTGTTGCTGACTTTAGATTGTAAAAATCAGTGGGTATATTTATCCAATCAAATTTGATGTCTTCTCCCCTCTCTTAAACCTGCTATAACTTTTTGACCTCAGTAACATCAGTAGTTTTATGAGGTGTGACTTAACCTTTCTTGCTTTTAAAATTATGGTAACTTTATTCTGGGCTAGAGCTCCTATACTAGACCTCACATAAAGCTTACGATCTTTCAAAAAGTAACAGGGTACAACGACAGTTAAAAAGTGGGAAGGTCAGGAGTTAATGGATTTGGGAATTACGGAGTAGAAAAAGGCAAAATTTAAACTTCGAATTCTCTATTCATTAACAATTGGTGAAACAGAAGACGCTCAACTCCTGGAATCTGAACAAGTTTTTGAGTCAGCAGGAGGGGGTACTTTTGTTGCGTCGTCATGTTTGGCAAAATGCGAAGGGCACAGCCAGTGTACAGCACTTGTCCACAGGCGGATCAATAATGGGTGAACAGAGGGATGCAAGTGGTAATGTAGTCATCGGCCGATATTAATTCTTATTCTATCTTCCACATTCCTGTAAAGGTTGATACCCTTTCATTCTGCATTGCCTTCTCTACAATTCATCAGTTGACATCTAGGACAGGGAGGATATTTGTGGCCTTCACGATGTGACCCTTTGTTATTTTATCATGCTCCAGTTTCCTTCAAAGGATCTATTCGTTCTTTTGATTCAATATATTCTCTAGTGTCATTTTCAATTCTCATTTTATAATGAGTATTGTTTTCCACAACCGTATCCTTTTTCTAATCCCCTTTTGATATAAGACCAGTAACCAGTTTTGGATTCTTCAACGCCTTTCAATATCTACAGTTCTAATGCCGTCAGGTTAATGAGAAAGGCCTGCTAAAACAATTTGACACCTTTTTCAATGGCTCATCTCGCAATTTTTTTAAAATTCCATGGAGCGCTCTTTACACATGTCTAGGCAATACAAACCTAATACAAAATGCAAATGAATTTTTTTGTACCTTACCATTTTCGGGAATGAATTCAGATGCAGTAAGAATATCCACCATAAGACATATATTTTTCAAGATTTTAACATATTCTTATTACTGTGGTCTGGTTCTCAGTGTGAGGTAAAACAGTAAAGTTGCTCTAATCTCAAGCAGTGCAACTTCAGAGACTCTGTCAAGATAGAATAGATAAAATCTCATTGAATCACTGTCTTTCCGAAGGTTAACGAGTAGCAACAGCCTTTACCAAGTGATAAGTTGGGTTGGTGAAGAGGAAGAGGAGGAGGACATTCCGACTTGTGAAGAACAGGCAACATGAGATATTTTTAAGGCAGATGATCGACCTCGTGTTCTTTATTGGGATTATGGAACCAGCCAGAAGAAGATTTGCCAGGTCCAGAGTAATTTTACGTAAGTAGAACAACATAATTAAGAAACGGCAGCTAAAGTGTGATTGACTCCCTTTGTCATTTAATCAATTGCATTTATCTGTCCAACAAGCTGTGGTTGACTCAATATACCATGAAATAGTTCCCAATATTTCATACTATCCTTCTCTTTTGCTGAATAAACAAGAGTTTATTTAACACAGATGGAATGAAAGATTAGCCTATAAATGGGGCATTTTCAGGGGAGTATTCAGAAGTCAAACGCCATTGATTATCACCACTGCAACTGCAATTATCCTGAGTTTATCTTGTATTCAACCTAATAAGTATAAACGACGCAATGTAGTTGTTTTCAGGTGAATTTTTCCCACAGAAGGAAGGCCGCTTATCATTTGTTGCCTCATTGAAATCTGCGACTTGTTCCAGTTTCTTGATAGGTTATATATATGTCCTTTTTGCTGGAAAACTTGCTAGTTCTTGCAAACTCGAGGGTAATCTTTGTGAGAATTACTGCAAGAAAAGTAAGTTTACACTTATGTAGGTACTTTACATTTGGTCGAATTTAAACTACTGAATAGAAGTTCCAATTGTTGTTACTTAACTAAAAACAATTATGAGAAAATTACATTAATGTGTATTCAATCAATTTCTAATCAGCAAAATATTTCCCATCAGATGGTTAAAATAATTTAATCATTTACCGAACAGATGATATCCTAGTATTCGATAAAAGTATATTGAAGTAGCAAGAATAAACCAACTAAATTTACCGAATAACCAACAAGATTTAACGTCGAGATCATAAAATGTTGAAATATCAAAATGTAAAATTCACCTTGTATAAAAATTTTACATGGCATCAGCCTGAACAGCAAACGACTTGTGAACCATTGTTGCGGTGAATTTACTCTCCTATTTATGCGCGGTTCTCTTCTTTTTTCAAGATTTATTTCATAGGTTCTACTGCTTCGCATGTCTAAGTGATCATCCGATTTCTAAAATTGCTAAATTCCACGACTTTAGCTAATAAATAATGGAGATAATTAAAACCGTACAATTACTAAAATGCACACCATTATTTCAAAGGATGTGTAGCATACCAGTCTGTATCATCAATATATTAAAACAAATTAAAATATGTTAAACCTAAAATTTGAAGAAAAGGCAATAGTGTGGGGGTGATTTGTGTGCTTAGAGCTTATTCCCTTGTCTTTAAATCAATGCTGCTGAATTTTCCCGGCAAAGGAGCATTATAATGAAACAGACAAATAGCTCAGCCTGTTATGGGGAATTCCTGTTACATTTGATGAGGTAAAGGAGTGATATCCTCCAGCTTGAGAAACCCGCATTTCACCTTTAGTCCGATGACTAGAGGTAACCAGTTCATGATCAGTTCTGTTGCTAACTTACATTGACCCGTGGGATTGGCCTTGTAACTTCTGTATTGGCTAACACGCATATTGACATATGTGTCACTGGCACCGGGCAAAAAAATCATTTATTCTCTCTTGAGCGATTGATTAATTCTTTAACGATCTTTTAAATATATTCATTTAATCATCTTTCTTTCATGAAACTCGATTATATTAGCAAAATTGAATAAGGTGAGGTAGGTATTCAATGTATATTTCATCCTCTTAAAGGGCAGGAATTGATCACTATATTTAATAAGCAGCTACTTCGTTTTCTAAGGCCTAGTTACGAGATACGGTGAGATCAATAAGTTGAACATAATACATCATTTTAAATGCATTAACAGCAAAGAAGCCTAAAATTCAAATTGTTAAAGCTTTTCTTATTGTTTACAAATATATTCTATTAACTTTACGGTAGATCAAGCCGTTAACCGACACTTGCATATAAACATTGATCGCCCATGATTGACTGTTGCCATGCGATTTGTGCAGATTTTTCAAATTCAAAGTCAGCGGTCGAAATGACATCTTGAAAATTATGATATTTGTGAATTTAGTTACAAAGAATAAATAACTTTACTAGTGTTGCTACTTGATCGTAGGCGATCGATTCATTGGGCTTTTTTGGGGCTATATTTTTTCAATAAGAAATACAGCAAATCATTTCTGATCGTGCTATCCATTTGGATGAATAACTGAGCTCTACTTAATTTCATTTGTAGTTCAAACATACTCAAAGTGGTAGATAATTTTAGCAAAATGGTAATAAAATTATCCGGTTATTCTTCGAAAACCCCTATAGGTGATATAATAAGTAAAATATATTTGTTTTATTTACACTAACGTGTTCAGCTATTGAATGATATTGATTTGTTGATCATCCGAAAATCAAGCTACAGAAGTCTTTTCGACAATGGGCTAACTCTTGCACTCATTCTACGAAGGCTGATGACAATTTAATTATCGATTATACAGGTAGGAAAACGATGAAATGGGGTCATAATTTCCTAAGACGTGCGTTAAAACGAGTAGAAAACCAGAACACAGTCGTATTACAGGAAGCTCTAAAGTTGACTGCATGAAAAATAATAAGGATATTGTGAACTTCGCAAAAGTCACTCAAGAACTGCAAGACAAAACTGAGAACCACTAATTTCATTAAAGTTGTTGTTGAGCTCGCAACGCTACCAAGGTTGAAAAATGAAATCTCATTCTCACTCGAACAGTCAAGGAGGTACAACCGTGCTGCTGATCACCAAAGGAGCAGTTTCAGTCTTGAGTACAGAGACGTCTCAGTCAGTTACAATCAAAAGCCACTGCCTTTATTACCTCCTGATATCCTTAGTATATTTCTAATGTTCAAATCGAATGTCAACTTAAGCATGAACTATTTCATGTGAGCTTCTTGTGCTCTGCTGCTTCACTAAACGCATACTGATGAATGAATCATATGACTTGAAAGTGAATGGCATTTTTCAATCACAATCTATGACTGTAACATAAATTAATACGCTGGCATACTTACTCATATTGTAACAGAGCCAAACATTCGCTTCACAATTTGGGACCAATTTTGGTCAAGGTGTAAACTGCAGCTTTAAAGTGCTGTGTCCGAAATTTTAAGGTTCGTTCTGAGTGTCAGTTAAGTGAGAACAACTTCGTTGGCCATTCACCTTAATTACTAATTGAATTGTAATTAAAATTGTCCAATCTTCTAGCTCATCCAAGAAGAATCTTAGAAGTGCTTGACAGAAGCATATATATATATATATATATATATAACCACAAGTGCATATATATTAGAGTTTTCAAGGAAATTTAGGTGACAATTAACCACTTTCAACTCAAGTAATCTAGTTAAGCGTTTATTTCCTATGAGGTGAAGCCATTGGACTAAACGGGAAAGAGAGCATAAAAGGGCAGTTCAGCTTGGGCTTATATCGATTTTTTAAGGGCACATTTTTAATAAATGGGTTATATGCTTGGCTGAGAGTAATAAGATTAAAAGAAATTGGGGCTGGCCTGCTTGCAGAAAAATGAGAAACAAAATAAGCCATGACTTTCGTTTCAAAATATGGAAAAGAACAGGGCAATTTTGAATGCTGAAAATACCACTCAATAGCCTTAAGTATCTTCGAATTAAAAAAATAAATAAAACAAAAAATACCATAATACGAAATAAATGGGATAATGAATTTAGAACACTACGAATCTTACTATTTGTAATATTGGAAGGATCAGATGTCCACTTCGTAATAAGAAGTATAGTTTGGTATAATACGTTACGATATTCCAAAGTATGAATTCCTTTAATTGACCTATCGGGTTCTGGGTGAGCTCTTAACAATGCTATGCAATACAATTTTTCAAATGATCCTGTTAAGTGGTTGATCAAACTTACATTTAGTTGGGAGCTTAGCTCTTCACAGATTTCGTTCAAATTCCCTAAAGATGGATAGCTGCGTCTTTAACTCTTCCAAGACCCTGATTTTCGTGGAGGAGAAACATTTCAAAGTTAAACAAGAATAGACAGGAAATATTCAAATACGTTCCTTAGGGGAAAAATCGGTTTCATTTCCCGAAAAAGCAAAACGCTAAACCAAGATAATCAGCGGGACGTCTCCAAGTTGAGGCAAATCCATGCTCTAGGTTGCTGTCTATATGACGACGTTTTGGGCTTTTCTGACTAATTTAATAAAAACTTCCCAGAACGAATGATCGACATTTTCCTGTAAAGATTAATTTGACTGAACAGGAGGTGCTTAAGAATAGTCCCGAACAATTATAACATTTAAGCTTCGGTCATCTAAGGGTTTTAATAGGATAACCAGGTATGATGCTAAAACGTGTGTTTGCGCAATGCAAGTGATGGTTTACGATGAACGTATTTCAAAATCAATACACTTGCGATCACACAAACTAAAACATAAAAACACGCACTGTTTCAATTAATTCAATCATTCTATTTACAACTACTTCGATCCCTGTCTAAGACTGTGAAATGAAGGAATGTGTCTGCATGAGAAGGCTATTTACCAATTCGCAAATGTCATTCGAAACTAAGATAGGAGATTAGGTGACAGGTTATGGACTGACACGTACATGGACAACAACCTACTATTCATAGAAATAACTGCACAGTTTCAAAATTTTGCTTTTTAGAGAGAATATGGGATTCCACTCACTGCGGTTTGGGTCTTATCATGATCTCAACTCAACTGAGATGTGAAGATGTAGGGACTACATCAAAAAGTAACTAAGTGCAGCTGAGATACCGAGGTCTTCTCAACGAGCTAAAGATTGATATCGTTTCAAAGTTGCGTTAAATATATCCAAGAACTACTAATGCTTTGTCAGTGGTCACAGTTGCAATGAACGCTCTTAACTCAATGCTTTCATATTCCACACATTTCGGGGAGGGGGATTTTGGCCGAGAAGATCGCAAAGGTTTGGTCAAATCTTAGCTGTTGTAGTATCAGATACAAATATGTACATTTCTTTTAGGTAAGTAAATAAGTAGCTTAGGAAAGTAACGATTCATTACTGTATATGTTCTTCTTAGGTGGAATATTTTACTTCTATATTTTCGCCCATGAGCTCTTATTCTGGTGGGCGGTTATTGGGATCGAAAATATTATTTCATGGGGTGTGACTTTCCGTTTAACCGCCCTGAGAGGATTTTCGAAAAATCTCGGTAGAGAAAACAAAATTAAATAAAAAGGACGCACTTTAATTAAGAGATGTTTAAGCCACAATGCTACAATTAATAATAAAAGGGTAGAGGGTCACGAAAATTTGGAGATATTTGTTACGAATCCTGCATAGAAGATACCGATACTATCTGTAAATACTCTTCATTTCCAACTGTGGGTCAACCTGATTTTACTTTCGACACGACTAAATTTTGAGCAACAAATGTAATCCATGACCTCCCTATCAAGGAGGTAATTGGACATGACTTGTCGACCATCGGTCCTTTAAATAAATCCACACATTTGCAAACACAACACCCGTCAGGCTGTTATTCAAAGGATAGTGACAAAATGACTGCTTGACCCAATTTTTATTCATATTTCTTGGTCATGAATCTTCCCGATTTCTTTTTGTTCTAACTTACCTTAACCCTTAGGTATTCTATATCACACAGTTGTCTCGATTGCGATTGCTATAGATGGTTATAAATCGCACCACTAGCAAACAGATGACCAGTTAGCAGAACTTAACTGTCAAGATGAGAAGGCAAGTCCGCTCCCCTAAATTAGTGAGAGAAAGGTGAAGTTTATATGTCCTGATTGATGTCAATGGCTTAATTCGGTGCATAAATCAACAAGAGTGCCGATGCTATACAAATGTGTCAAATCAGTACAGAAACCCACATTTAGCATGAAAACTAGCATTAACAAAGGTTGGAAACCAACGTCTGATACATGAGATGTAATCAGTTAGGCTTCGTAATGATGAGAGGATAGAGGCCACCATTCTTTTCACCTCCTGATCCACATCTACCTTTTTTGCACAGCTTATAAACGACACGCCCTTTCATTATTCATTTGGCTAACCTACAAAATATTCTTTCATACACGATGACCCAGAAGACACTTCATACGTCGCTTAAACCAACCTATTAGTTTCAATCTAATTAAAATAATACTATTTCAAACGGCTCTTGTTCATCGCAAGCAATCTCTACAAGTCGTTCTGAATTACTTATTTGCTAGCGTTTTTGAAATTGAAGCCACAAGTACATTTCCCCTCCATTCTTCGTCCTTAACTAATTACTTAAAAACAATAAGTAATATTTCATTTATGGTATTGTGCCATAGACTTGCCTCCACGTGAAGCATCATGGGCAACGTGTACTCATACGTGGGAAAGTCTATTAAACGACAGTTGACTTCTGACTTCAAACTACAATGGCCAAACTGTATGTCATATTCTATCACTTCCACAGTACTCATCTTACCTTTACTCTGGCTTTGTGTCTGTCTGTCTGTCTCTTTTACATCTGTGAATCACTCTTCTGTTCCCCACCCCTCGACTTTCTGTTACTTTGATGTTCCTTCCTCTTGTGAAGCCCGAAAACAACTAAAGAGCTAATGATAACTATCCAAATGCCTGCCATTTGAAATAGCAAAATAAAATCATTTCATTTATTTACACGAGTATTACAAAGTAGGTACACATCTTTAAGGGAAATTCTCCCCTCCTGAGGAATTACAGAGCTAATTTTCGCCTTGATCCTATCACCAAGGCGAAGGCCAGATTGTTGCAGAATACTTCTGGTACAGCCAATTTGACTACTACTACTTCCAGCGTTTCTTCTGTTGGATGAGGGTCGGGGAAATTGGTTAATAGGGATCAGAGCTTCAACTTCCACACCAATATCCACAAAAGCACCGAAGGTAGTTACATTCCTAACACAACCCTGTACCTCCAAACCTGGACTCAGGTTTGTGATGGAAATAACAGAGGAGCGGAACATTGGTGTAAAGAGGTCTGTGTGATAAAGATAAAAAAAAAATTAGCAATTACATCTACTCACTTTCATTTACCAGGCATTTATAGCCCACCTGCAGTTGTAACCAGTGTGGAAAACAACTCATTGTAAGTCAGAAAGAATAATTGCGAGCAATCCAACCTAGAAAGCGGACTAACATGAAGAAGTGAATCCAGTGGGAAGCTTAGACTTGGGATCTACTCTAAAGCAATAGTGGCATATCGGAGACTTAATATTCAGTATCCAAAGGTGTGCGATAGACTTACCTCCACTTGGTGCACCATGGGCAACGCATACTCATACGGCAAAAAGTCTATAAGTTGGCAGCTGACTTCTCACTTCAAGCTACCATGACCCGACTGCATGTCATATTCGACCACATCACAGCACTCATCTTACCGTTACTCTGCCTTTGTGTCTGTCTCCTTCTACCCGTGAATCACTCTTCTGTTCCCCCTATCGACTTTTATTGACGTTAATGTTTCTCCCCTCTGTGAAGCTCGCAGTCAGCTGAAGGGGCCATGGTAAGTATCAAAAGGCATGCCATTTAAAATAAATAAATATTCTGTATCCAATTACCATATGGAGGCAAATGAATGCAATAATAGTGCCAAATGAAGAGGTATGCATACAGATATTTAATAAGTAGGGACGTGTTCCAAACCACTAGTTCAATGCCCTCAATATATAGCATTGGAAGTTAGATATAAATTAATGAATATAGAAGTATTATTTCTTCTGCTACAGACCAGAATCAGAATCACAATGATTGATGATTCATTTCATACAGAATGTTGAATTCAATTAACGCACAGTGGTCAACATGGAGCAATAGTGGTAAGTCCAATGGGACTTCAAGCAGTCGCCTTATTCAAGTGATGAAATGCAGATGACGACGAAATTAATAATAAGAGGCTTATGATCACAAACTTTAAAAAATGATTCACTAGGTTGAACTTTGGAAAGCTGGATCAAGATGTAAAAGAATTATTTAATTGGCTCTTGCGTAAAGATGATTCCTACTACTTACAGAATTACTAATTGCGCTGTCATAGAGCAGTACTAAACGAGTTAAAACTAACCCTGACGTTCATCAAAGTCCAATGGACGACATAGAGCATCCAATATATCACATAGTGTCTCCAGTCCAAACTCCTCTGTCGTAAATAGGGAAAGGACAGTGTCACCTGTGAAGAAAAGTGACTTAGAATTCCGAACAATAACAAAGGGAATAGAGGCTAACAATCTTCTTTCCACCACTTACGATCTTTTGACGCGAATAAAGCTTTAGCAGAGTTACGAAGAACAGTGCTTCCAATATCGCAAACTTCATAATTCAAGTGCCTAATGAGACTGCGCGAAAGCAAAGTTTAAGGAATGATCGGGAAAATTACAGCTACTTAAAACGCACAAGTAGCAAGAATACATGCACTTACGCGGTAGCAATATGATATGAGGCCGGGTGAATAGCTGTTTGATCTAGAGGGTTAAAGGAGAAGTCATTGGGATTCGGTTCAGGTATTATGATACGCGATCTCTTGGTTGGAGATTGTGTATCCATGGCAACCAGACGATTCCGCTTTCTACCAAGAGAGATCACCTTCATATCTACGTCATCAGACTTTCCGACTTCTTCGTCTGAACAGAGTGAGATAAATTCGACATCTCTAAAAATAATAAAACGGAGTCTATATAAATACTTTGAGAAACCTAAATCACAAAGGAGGTGGAAGAATCATTGAGACACAGATTACGCTTTTCGATCCAAAAGCTTGAGACTACTCAACGATTTTCAAAATGGGGAAAGTCCGATCTGCTTGCTATAGTTTGAAAAGTTAAGCCTAATAAGAATAATAATTAGACGCATTAGTCAAAGGAAACAAAGATAACGCAGAAAAATCAACTAGAAATCATCAATTGGACACTGATTTAGGACAAGTTCCTGTACCACCTGCCATTTATTGGCTTGTTTTAAGTAGTACAAGTGAATTTCTACCCCATATTTAATGAAATAATAATCCGAAACCTTGGAATAGATAGACCCATGAATTCACCGTCTTGCCACTCATGCAAGGTAAACCGATAACAACTCTTCAAAAATCAAGTAGCCTCATCTGAATAAGAGTAAAATAACTCTACATAACTGTTGGTTCAAACAAAAACTGGGTGAAGTGAACAATACACATTTTGCATATTGAAAACATTGAGGAAATCGACATGAAATCAAATGTTCTGATATCCCTCCGATTTGTACAAACGTTACAAATCACAAAACGCAACATCTCTTTATGTTACCACCTTTTGAAATGAGATTTTGAAAAAAGGAAATAGAAAGTTTGCTTAATTAGTAAAAGACATACCACTATTAAAAATGGTACTCACTTTGAAGCGTCCATTCTGGTAATTGAAAACTCTGGTTTGACTCGCAGAAAACCAGCACACTGTGCAAAAGTGTTTGCTCCAATTCCCCTCACTTTGAGAATTTCATTTCGACAACGAAATCGACCATGCTTGATTCGGTAGTTGATAATCTCAAGCGCTTTGGATTGAGAAAGACCAGCTACTCGTGCGAGTACATGCTTTTGAGCAGTGTTAACATCCACTCCGACAAAGGAGATACATTCTTCCAATGCCTCTTCAACTTCCGCTTGAAGCTTTCGTGGCGGAAGATCGTGCTGGTACATTCCAACTCCCAGATGCTGGGGTTCAATCTTCACCATTTCTGCCAGGGGATCTTGTAGACGCCGGGCTATCGATACAGCCCCACGCAGGGACACATCCAGCTCGGGTAACTCTTGGCACGCCAAAGGAGAGACTGAATATGTAGAAGCACCACATTCGTTTACAATGGCATAGCGAACAGGGAGGGGCGAAAAGAGACCCGATTTAATAGCATTGGTTAACCATTTTTCCGTCTCACGGCAAGCTGTGCCGTTACCAAGAGCGATGGTACTAATTCTAAAACATCAAAGAAGGAGATTAGGTATGGGTTTTCACATCGAGGAAATTACGATTATTACGGGTGCAGAACTTAACATTTCTAACTATCAAAAATAACCTTAAAATTTGATGTGCACTTTATTTTATGCTACTATCAACGGGAAGTGTGGACTGTTTATTAAATATGCATACCGAGAATTCTACACACTTATTCTTTTTAAAAAAATATTCGCATTTTGACGTTCGACGTCGGCAAGGTGATACAAAGTATGGATAAAAATGGAAATAAAACCAAATATAAGGGATATTACCTAAAACTATGGTTACTTAGACATTTCAGAACGTCATCATAGAGTAAACAGTCTTGGATGACATCTGTTCCCTAATTATTTGCAACAACATTTACACCCGAAAAACTGCCTTCCAAACATCACAATGCGCTGGTAACTCATCACATTATTGTTACGCCTTCCCCATAAAGAGGTACGAGATGGCCACATTATTAAACAAAATTAGAAGATATTTACACTAATGTAAAGCTTGCGATGAACATTGGACGAAACAGTCGACATTTCCGTGCCAAAAGATAGTGATTAAAAAAATATTTTAACGTCTATTCATAAGCACGACAAATGATCCCTGTCATCACTCCATACAACCAGTTCTCAAAAATATTGCACAGTCATCTCCGAATTGTTAATAAGCAAATTTGTAGAACAAACCAAAAGTTTATTAAGAAACCGATAGTAACACCTGGAAAAACTACGCTCTCACAAAATGTAATCGACTAATATAAGGCGAAAAAATATGAAATTATTGTATGTTGAAAGGTGGGACAAAATGTAGTTTTTGTATAGAAGTGGATTGCTACACAAATAAGCCATGACTTATTCTCGGGGGTACGATAGAACACCCTGGGCAACGTATACTCTTAAAGCAAAGTCTATTTGACTTCTGACTTCAAATTACCATGACCCTAATGTGTCATATTCGATCACTTCCACCATACCTATCCTACCTTTTCGTATGCCTTTGTGTCTGTCTTTCTTGGATCTCTGAATCACTCTTCTAACCCCCCCCCCCCCCCGATTATTTGTGACATTGAAGTTCTCCACTGCTCCATGAAGTCACCTAAGGGGTTGATGATAACTATCATAAAGCCTGCCATTTGATATAAATAAATCCCCGGTTATCGATGTGCCAAAACATCCTGAAATGAGTAAGGTTATCTCAATGGTATAGAAGAAGCAGAGGTATGCCGTTTATTAAAACTGTCATCACGGCAGGCATGATTCCAAATTGGATACGTAAAACATATCTTGAATGAAAATTAATAGCTGACTAGCTGAGAAGTCCTCTGCACACACAATTGAATCCTCTAGAATGTTCGGTTGAGTGCAGTTTAATCGCATCAGGAATGGGTACTCCACAGTGTACCATTACAAAACTATATAAAATATTACGTTCAAATCAGTCGATGATAAACCAAATTCGTTGAATGTTGTAATATTCGAGATTTAATTATGACGCCAAACAGGTATCACCAACACTTAAAAACCCACACTGCGCATCACGATACCTAACAATTTTGACGAACCAAACCAAATGGTGTAATAAGCTAATGCCCTGTGTTATCTTTTGCATTTTTACTTCGATTTATTGATTGCCTATTGACTCAACATGCTACATTCAAGATATTCCCTTGCCTTCATCAGTTTATAAACCTGCAAAAGTGCTTTCTTCCTTCAGGTGTATAGATGTGATCGATGGAATAAACTTGATTAAACTTATTGCACCTTTTCAACATGAACATATTATAAACGTCAAAAAGGAGGAACTTTCTTACCCGTGGCTAATCATGGTCGTAACAAGAGCTTGAACTCTACTATCCGTTTGATTGCAGATTTGCTCCGGTTTCCTAACAGTGACATGTAAAATCCCTGTGGCTATAACAACACCGAGGGGATCACAAGCAGCCCATTTGGTTCCATGACGAAATCCCGGATCAAGTCCAACTACTGGTAACCTATCACCAGGCGCACCAAGACTAGATGAGACAACATCAGGTGCAGGTACTTCATCTTTAGGATCAATCATTTTTGCATTCAGATCTCCAGCAGAAGGTAAAGGTGCGTTTCTAAGTGGAGCTGTCATTAAAATTCGTCTCAAATTGGCTCCAAAAACAAGTAGAGATGTTTCTTGAGCATCAGAGGTCATACGAGACCTCAGTTTTCGAGTGAGACAGGGTTTCATTAGACGCTTCCAACCATCATCAAAAGCCCACCAAAGTAAGTTATGATGAGTTGGGTGGATATGGTGTAGAAAGTAGCGGCCAACTATGGCTCGAATTCGAGAGACTAAACGATCGGAAAAGGACAATTTCACTCTCAATATTTTTCTATCCTCACCACGATTTATTGCTAATATCTGCAAAACACCCAATAGGGAGTGAATTGGCGCAAATGTGACGAAATTTGAGTTGATAAATAAGCACATACCTTATGTGGAGGAATGTGATTAAAAGGCATTGAGAAATTAAAATAGGGTCTATAAATAGCCATATCTCTTAGAGTGTTGTGTTTTGAAACATTAGGAGTAGGTTGTTTCTGTACTATTTTACTTGTCTCAAGATTTGGAGGAATTTTAAAGCACCTAGAAGAGAATATACGATTAGACACTGTAATTAATCAACAAGATATAAACGTACAGGGATTCCACTTCTTGTAAAACGGCAATATCTTTGCAAATCCATTCAGACATAATATGCAAAACACCAGTTTTGACCTCCATAGTAGATAATTTAGAGTTCGCATTTGAAAAGTCCACTTTTTCTCCTTTACGAAAAATAGCAAGAGCCAATGGCTCGAGCCCTGCGGATCGGGCTTTAGAGGCAAGAGTTTTTGGAACAGATTCCTTAAATGGTTCTGTCTAAAAGCAAGGTAATTTTTTTGCCCATAATTGGCTTACAATAAAAGTAACATCAGAAGTAGTCTTGCAACGACGTAAGTTAGATCTTAGCTCGTCAGTCATCAAACCTCTAGCAGAAAGTTGTGTATAGGCGCTGTTAACCTTTTCTATCACCTCACTAGAGCGAAAGTGAACAAATAACTTAATTTTAAGTAAAATATGTGAGTAAGTGGGGTGGGGGATTGATAATAAAATATTACCGGCACTGAGAAAGTTTAGCTTTAATAGCACGAAGTACATCGGGATTAAGATTTCCTGTAGCCTCTCTGCGATAACGAGCAATGAAAGGGAGAGTGTTTCCAGAATTAAGCAAAGTTATAACTTTGGAAGTGATACGGTGGTCCGCGCCGCAGGTATTTGCTATCTCTGTTACTACATCCCAATCAACATCCATAGATTCCATTGCGCAGGGATCCCTGGGGAATGAGTAGTTAGTGAATATGAGGCCTTAGATTTAAAAAAAGACGACAGTTTCATCAAACTTCTACCTTACGTTAAATCACAAGGTGTGATTTATTTAAGGCAAAATAAATAAGTAGAGAGAATATTTAAATGAGTAATAGTCATAAAACAATCTTCAAGAAGAGTTAAAAATATTTATGGCACCAAAACACGCTTAAAAAATAAGTTAAGTTCTGCTTTGAAAAAGCAAACTACCTAGGGCCCAATAATGGATATTTACAGGATAAGAGTAAAGATACGAACACAACCACGAGGTGATAAGAGGCTTTTATAACACCAATTAGCGTTAACCAATTATCTTTCTGCAGAAATCGATAGTTTACATAATAAAAACATAGCAATTATACAGAAAATAAATTATATTTGTTGGTAAATATAATAGATTACTGGAAAAGATCGTTAGTCTAGCCATATTCATGTGTTATTTTCTGGTAAAATCTTGAGTTTTCATATGCATTAAATGATGCGCCAACTAAATTATGGAAACTCTAAGATACTATTGGTGAATAATAGTTGACTTCAAATAATATTCACCAATCGTATCTTAGGATTTATGATAATTTAGCCTCGGTGGTTCTGCTTTTGCTTTTGACTAGTTTATTTTCAATATTTATATTTATGTGTTAGATTTACAAATCTACCAGTTTTTTGAGTAATATGAATTCCGTAATTTTTGCTTTCAGCGTATAATTTACGAATTCAGTTCTTATTTATCTATTACGGTTCCTCATAATTAGGTATTTTATTCAAATGTCTGCCTCACCCGACAAGGAGAATAGACTAGCCTCAGCTTCTGATCGGCTGGAACAGGAAGCTCGTAGCCTTTTCGAAATCGGTGATTTTCATGCTTCCCTGAAGACCCTCCAACGTGCCTATAAGATAAATCCTACTGGACGGTTGGAACGAAGAATAGAACGGCTGTTGAATGTTATCAATTCTACCAAGCACTCAGACATTGATAGCCTTATTAAAAAGACAACTGATCTTTCACTTCAAGAAAAAGCGCAATCGGATGAAAGGCTGGTAATGTGGATGCTTATGAGTTAACTTTGTTTAGACTGTTGAATCGTTGTTAACTGAAGCACGTATTCTTTTTGAACAAGGAAATACAGAGGGTTCTTTAGCTAAAGTTAGGAAGGCTTATGCTATTGATCCTAATAGCAAAACTCTGCGTAAATTGAAACGCCTTGAAGAGGTGCTTGAAGATGAAAGAAAGTTAGCCTTGGAGGTAAATTTTCGACAAAGTTCCCTGTTTTTGTAGTTTAATTATCTCTTATTTAATTAATGATTCTCCTTGCACTGCAGGCTGCT